ATAACCTAACAATTTAGTGAACAGCTACTCGTTTAACGATCCTACAATTTAAATATAATTAGGCAAATTAATGGCAACACGCAGAAAAGTTGATGCTGACTGCAGAGTTTCAATAGCGCTGAAAATATTCAAATGGAGCTCCTTGAGATGCAATGCAATGAGGAAATAAAATTTATATTTTATTTGAGAAATCTTTATTAAAATTTGATATGTGTGCAAACAATTATTTTCAAAAATGAACATTACAAAGAACACGTAGAGAACTAGGATTAGTGATGGCCCATTTAGAAAATGTTCCAATCTTGGCTTCATTCAGTGTACCGCCGAAAAGCTATCAAGCGTGATGCAGCAACAAGACATTGTCACATTAAATGTCATTTGTAATTTTTTTAATAAGACGACTGAGTTGAGTTCACGAATTGTGCTGTTCCGTTTCCGTTGTGCACGCGCTGTGCCGTTTTCAACTTTCAAAAAACTTAATTTTACCAAAAGGTTGCCGACCCCCTAGCGTAGCCGATGGTCGGTTACGGCTTCCCCTACTATCAAGTCCATGAATCTGAAACAAATAACTTTCCAAGACTTGCAACCCTTTATTTTAACAAAAGGTTGCCGAACCCTGGCGTAGCCGATGGTCGGTTACGGCTTCCCCCACTATCAAGTACATGAATCTGAAACAAATAACTTTCCAAGACTTGCAACCCTTAACTTTAACAAAATGTTGCCGACCCCTGGCATAGCCGATGGTCGGTTACGGCTTCCCCCACTATCAAGTCCATGAATCTGAAACAAATAACTTTCCAAGACTTGCAGCCCTTAATTTTAACAAAATGTTGCCGACCCCTGGCATAGCCGATGGTCGGTTACGGCTTCCCCCACTATCAAGTCCATGAATCTGAAACAAATAACTTTCCAAGACTTGCAACCCTTAATTTTAACAAAATGTTGCCGCAGGCGTAGCCGATGGTCGGTTACGGCTTTCCCCACTATCAAGTACATGAATCTGAAACAAAAACTTTCCAAGACTTGCAACCCTTAATTTTAACAAAATGTTGCCGCAGGCGTAGCAGATGGTCTGTTACGGCTTCCCCCCTATCAAGTCCATGAATCTGAAACAAATAAATAGCTGATGAATGCCATGGACTGGTAACCGGTAATCAATAATCAAGCCTTTCCATCAGTAAATCGGGTAGTATTAAAAAACTCGCTGAAGACCACCAAGCTCATCAAAAAACACTATGGACTATGATTTGTCTTCTTGTTTATTTGGTCTGTAATATATTCTTTTTTGACTTTATATATATATTTTTCGTAGTGCAGTGGGGTTGAAGTGGCGATGAAGTTGTACAAATTACTGTAGGGGAGGCGGGAATTGGGGGGGGGGGCGCGATGGTACAAAAAAGTTTGGGAACCACTGATTTAAGTGACGTATGGTTCCTAACGCCAATCAAAGAGAATGTCGGAATATGAAGTTTTGCGATATACAATGCCTAGAGAAGCGTTTTTAATCTATCACGGGCCTCCTACAACAACTTGTTTACGGTTTTATTTTTATTATTTTATATTGCCGCTTTTCAATCAAAAAATTTGCGTCAGCGATTCGCTCCTTTGTTTGTCTTTAGCATATCGCCGCTGATAAATGTATAATAAATCCCAATGGATTCACAATTCTGTGCGAGTACAAAAAGAAACAAGAGAGCTATGCTCAAATATATGGACACGTAGAGTCACATAATTTTGATGACGTCATAGCGAAAAAAAAAGTAATAGCCTTCTGGAGAAAATTTTTATCTTTAACCACTAAAAATTTCAAAGCAATTGGTCCAGTATTCGAAGAGAAAAGCGACTTTTTAAAAACGTGTCAAGCGGTACTGAGTTAGCAGTCAGGCAGCATCTTACCTGTACACTGTAGGCCATATACGGTAATTGATCACAGAACAGTTGTTCCCTTGCAAATTTTATGTTGTTTACACTTTAGGACAGATAATTGATCACAGAACAATTCTTCCCTTTCAAATTTTATGTTGTTTCCAGTAGACTCTCATCAAAATAAACAAATATAGTAGGCTACAAGTGCTACAACGCTTGCATTACTGCACTGGTAGGACCGTGAAAGAATAAGTTACGGTAATTTCATTGTGGTAAGACACCGGTACCGGCACCAGTACCAGTATCGTACTTACGTACTGAGCTACCAGTACCGGTACCGAACCTGTAGGTCTGATATTCCGTTCCGCATACGATAGGCTATAAAACTTGCATTGCAGCATTAGTAATACCGCGGAAGGAATAAGTCAATTTCACTGCGTTACGGTACCTGTATGGCAACTTACCAGTACCGATCTACAGTAGCTGTAGTACTGAGCAAGACAAACGATCGCGAAACCGCTTGAAATAAGTGTAAAACAGTGTTCCCATGAGTAAAAATAAATACCGCGAAATTTTGTATGAAATATCATATCTCATAGGATTCATATAAAATTTAAGAATAAACAAAAGTAATAGCCTTCTAGCGAAAAAATTAATCTTTAACCACTGAAAATTTCAAAGCAATTGGTCCAGTATTCGAAGAGAAAAGCGACTTTTTAAAAACGTGTCAAAGAACAAGAACAAGAACAACAACAACAACATAATATTGAAACGATCGTTATGTTCACTACGTGTCCAATAAATTATCATCTTTGTCGTGGCAAAATTTTCGTGATTTAGGGAGAAGAAACACCGACGCAAGGGTGTTTAAGGCCTAAACAACACGTCACGCCGACAAAAACAGTCGCACGCGTTATAGCGACTTTTTTACTTTTCCATAAATTTCAAAAGGAACCCCGGCCCCCCAAAGGCTGCGCCACTGCTGGGAACTAAAACCTTTACCACGAAGCGCTCGAATTCGTACTATAGTTGAATCAGAGCCGTAACTCACCAGCGTCGGCGAGGAGTCTAGCAATCGTTTCGCCCATAACTATTCTCACGGGATTCCTTCAATTCAACACGATGCGCCATACAGCCAAGCAATCATGAAATATGGTCTCTTTTGCTTCGCATCTTTCGATCAGACGAAATCTCGCAAGCTAGTATGTAGTCGACTATTATGGAGCTACAATTTGCTGGCATCTTTGTATCACTGGATTATTGATTTAAAAACCATTTAAACCGATTTTCATTGGTGAGCAATTGCAGATTTGCGGCGTGCAAAATTGAATTCGTTCGCGTGCAGTTTTGCGGAGCGCTAGCGCCCTGTGGTGTGCATCTGCCGTGGAATCCAGTCCAGGGGCGGCTCTGATCACCCCGCGTGGCTATTATTAGATTTTGGAAACAAAACCTAATTTTTGAGGACTGCGAACTTTCAATTCGTTTGGTAAACATACGATTTACCCATCTATTCCGTTCATTCGATAGAAGTCTATTTTTACGTTTTAAACGTCATCACACAGACACAAGTCTCCCTGAGGCATACGAATGCAGAATTAGCGCAAAACTTTCCGAATACGGAATTTCACTGCAGTGAAAACAATGACCGAAGCCCAGTTTTAGGTAAAAGTATCATGAATTTTCGAAATTAATGACGTATGTTTTACGTCTTGATCACATCTATAGTTGTACATGGATGATTATTCATAAGTTGTACATTGGATGCACTACAGGTTTTTATCTAGATATTTCTATGAACTATTTGAAAGTGCAAAATGCTCATGTCGTTTTCTCAATATGAGAGACATTATTACAGAAGGGGTCACAATACGTGGCAATATATTAAATGCAATTCATGATTTCAACGACCTTTCATTTCGAAAACTCGAACACAAATTACAAATACTAATCAATAAAGTAGGAATCAATAAAACTAAAAAGAACCCACAAGTCGACGAAGGAGCTTGAGAATTACGTAACCCAAGAAAAAGAACATTACTTTAACTCAAGTGACCATTATGTCAATGAATCACAGTTACACATGTTATCCAGCATTAACCAAATAATAAAAATTTTTGCAACACCATTATAGGTCAAACCGACCCATGAGAATACATTACGTCTTCTCAAATTCTTTTTTACCACAAATCGTTGAAATTCGCAAGTTAAACTTGCCCAGACCTAAATATTTGAGAAGCATTTAGTTTTAGCGCCCCTTTTCTGAAAAATGCGTTACTGAAAGATGCGATATGAATTTGCTAATAGCATTTTTATTGGATATGATTAAATTTCTTAGATGTAAATCAGTTCCGTCTTGTTTGATTTACTGATCAAAATTTGTTTACAACAAGTGATGATTCAAAGCGATAACTAATTACTTCAAATCGTAAATCAGAAAGATCTTTAACAGTCCCGAAGGTTAAATGACAAATATTAAAATCAGGCAAATAAACAGTACCATTGATAAAGTGATCGTGAAAAATGTTGGGTTGAAAAATAACCCAAATTGTTATTAGTCAGCTTCTATCAACATACGATGACGCGCGTTCACAAGTAATAAACAAAATCAAAGCAAGTGAAATCACAAAAAAATTTAGAAGTGAAAAAATATAATTCATTCGCTACTCATGAGTTCGGTATAATACATAATTGCTATGTATATACAATTTTTGAAACGGTAATTTCCATGAAAGATATGGAACAGCATGACGTATTGATGAAATCTCAAAATAACAGCTCGACTTCGAGAAGTTATGGACAATAAACGTAAAGAATTAAAAATTGGTCGGTGAAAACATCGTTTGGTTATTTAACCGAGTTTGCACTGCACAAAAACCAACGCCACACTATGACTCGAAGTTTCAGACTGACGCAGACTGCTGCAATTACGTCACATTTATGCCCTTTGGCAAAGCGACGAGTTCAATTTTTAAATAATCATTTAAAATGCCACTAGAGACAAAATAAAAACGTGTGACTAATAATAAAATTGAGGTAGCGTAGAAAATCCCAATCGCAACTATAAAACACCACACGTTTGTTACAGTGATACTATATTTCGTTTGCATTCGCTCATAACAGTGAATATTGTATAGTGACAAACTATACGAACACGGATATCACGTTAGAAAAAGATTTATGTTTTTAATGATAAAGATAATAAACAACAAAGCAACAAGCTACGACACACGTGGAAGAAAACGAAATACATCGTTTGCTCTCTCCTCTATCCGTTGTTAAAATTAAATTTAAAACTTTTCCAGCGAACTATTCATAACATAACTATTTACTTATTTATTTATTTTCGACACATTGCATCGGCGAAACAACCGTGCAACAAGATGAGGATACATCTTACTGTGCTACTTTTTGGTGAGTAACAGCAACTTTTAAGAAACTAAATGTCGAAAAGCAGTTTTGTAATTTAATTGTCTGTTTCAGGTTATTATTGCAAAGGATGAACTTTTGGTACTCCAGTAGTGTGTGTACCAGATTGGGGTTCGGCAATAATTTTATTCCGATTCTGCTCATTTTAGTTCTATTACGAGTCCGGGGACTGTCTGTGTTAGCCGAGTCAATATCCTCTGTCAATAGGTTTCATTCCCTGTACACAACTTGATGTAAAGTGAGCGAACAAAATTAGTTACTTCCATATATATTCCATTTTCCTGTGACTAATGACTATTTATTTCATAACTGAAAAACTCCCAAATATCGTATTCCTATATTGAAAATAATATTTGTAAATCATTAAGTAGTGTAAAAAACTGTCAATATATAGCCGGCATTAATTTACACTTGGCATAAAATCATTCATCCTGGTATCGTGTATTGAAGTTGTGTCATAATTTTTAATATTTTGTTACAGCGCTTTACGTCGTACTAGCAAAAACCGACACTGTGAAAGACGATAACACGTAAGTAAAATATATCGTTGTTTGTGAATAATAAAAAGAAACTTTCTTAATTATTGTAAAATTATCATTTATTTTTGCAGAGCACTCGAACTCGCCCCCGACTCAGCTGTGTTCAATGGTAAGACAATTAAATGAATTTTAGTAAAATAGCATTGTGTAATAAAGCAATTTATTACGTTCCAGTCAGTGTAAACACTCGAGTCAGTGTTTGGCAAAAATTAATGATTATTTCTTTTGTGCTCAGATTACCGACAACTGTCAGGCGGATACGCAAGAGCATACAACTTTTACGGATGTCCTCAACCATACTTTATTGGAAATTCATACAAGGTAGTTTTTAAATAAGTTAATACAATTATTAGGGTCAAATGAAACGACCGTAGTGAACGATGATATTGAACTGTAATTACATTATTACAAGTAGTTCTCTGTACTCGGTTTACTGGTTATGATTTGATTTGAAGCGGATGCACTTGAATCCACAAAGGAATCGTTTGCTCGTCGTTCTATATAATTATTTGGACGTATTTGATTTGATTTGAGGCAGATGCACTTGAATTCACAAAGGAATCGTTTGCTCGTCGTTCTATATAATTATTTGGACGTATATGATTTGATTTGGAGCAGATGCACTTGAATTCACAAAGAAATCGTTTGCTCGTCGTTCTATATAATTATTTGGACGTATAATTGACTGCTCTTGAGACTTCCCGCAGAAAACATTGACAGAGTCACTCCGCCCTTTCATACTTATAAGAAAGGAACGGCCGAATAAACCATCTACAAATCATCAAATACTTTTATTTTTAGGTCATTGATTATTGGCCTGATGGGGCAAATATCGAAGTCACTGTGAGAACAAAAACTCAAGTTAGAAATGGATGGACAACATTGGTTGTCTTCAGCAGGTAATGTATTTAAAAAGTTTTGAACACATTACATTCCATAGTTTCTCTAATTAAAAATCTCGAGCAGAAATTGCATATATATTATTCGTGAATAAAAAGCACAACACATCATATCGTTTTCGAGTTATAACTTAATCTTTACAAAACAGGCCTCTCCCGAAAGGTTCAAGGATTCTTGTATGGAACGCTGAAGTGACGGCTATGATAAACAATCAGTACATAACTTTCGTCAATAGAGCACACAATCCCAATCTACATGAAATGAGAACGTTTTCCTTCACTTTTGTGGTCGAAGGAGCGTCCATGCAGGAAATGCAAGGATTTTCTGGTACGAATTGATTCATTGTAAAAATTCTTTAATTCGTATTTTCCTATTTGTATTTGCATACAACGAAATGAATTTTAGTATTTTGAATCAGCATAATCCAGAATGGCACGGTTATTCAACTCAAAGCGATATAACAAAGTCCTAAACATAATGAATTATTTTATTTCCAGCTACCATCGCTTTTTACGCGGAAAGAATTGAAGATGCTTCTTGTTACCTCATGAATAAGCAGGTATAAAATTTATTCGTCTTATTCCTTATATGGAAACAGAGCTGTAAATTTAACCACGTGGTAAAGTAAACCATTGAGGTTTCTGCTTTTGTACATGTTCAGGACAAATCTGGGTAGTTTGTTCTCCAACCCGAAAGCACTCCGCCCAGTATTCCACTCTGTAGCGATCCTGTGGATTCTTCTTTTTAAAACGTAATTCAAAGGAGATAATGTACAACCCTCTTCTTTGAGTTGTATGATGATAGTTTGAATCACAAATCGAATTTATTGTATTTAATATATTACTTGGGAGTAGTAAAACATGGATAGCCCTAACTCTAAATCAAACATCATTTAGAAAAAGCAAGCTCCACGAACAAGTGCATACAGTTATACCGTACGACCACCAGTCAGACCAAGGACCAAAAAAGTAGTAAAACCGACAGCATGGCCACGTTTCATCAGACGAACTACTGTTGTTCCACGAAGAACAACAAGAAGCATTAAACGCAATGGAAGAAAACCAAAACCCAGAGCTACCCCTCCTCCACGCAGAAAACCGACTACAAGGAAACCACAAAGGATTCAAACCACTAACAAGCCAAAACCAAGGACAACCGTTCCACAATACCCAGAAGATATGCCGGAGTACAAAATCGCAAGCAAACTGGTGCAGAAGCACAAAGGAAAATGCCAACGTACGTGTAATAGATCATTTCACAGCAATTTAAGCCATATAACCCATCGTACTCGTAACTAAATGTACCGAGCTAGTGGAGCATTGAATGCTTATCAATATCTTACAGGAACAGACTCATATATAATTAGAACATGAATACGACAGTATTTTACAAAAGCATCAATGTCGAATAAATTTCAATTTGATTTCGACACAAAGTTGCATTTTGAATGAAATGATTTCAATTTTCCCTTTTTCATTTAGTTCTTCACAATAGCTACAAAGTTGTTAACTCTGGCTATGATGCTGGCAACAATCTGGCTGATGGAAATGAAAGAAAATATAAGTTTAATGTTGAAATAAGAGTGCCCGTTAAAAATGTAGTTTCGGACTGGACAGTGAAAATCGTATTTGCCGAACCTATAGAAGCAATAGAGGTATGTTTTCTTTTCTGTTCAGGGGGATGGCCGTGAATTTATTGTTAAAAGCTCCATTTTTGATCTTAAAGAGGAAAAACTTTATCTAAAAATTTCCTTTTTTGTCTATATATACAGTGCTGGGAAGCAGTTGCATCTGAACATTCATCTGATGGAACTGTGTGGCTGATTCGACCACAAGAATGGAACTCGGAATTACGTGAACCTTCAGAATTCTTAATGGTTCCGTTGATGAAATCACACTATGCACCACCAGGTACATAAAAACTTTGTAAAATGTCTACTGAATAATGCAACAATGATACTGATAAATCGCCTGACCTAGGATTTATTTTAACTAAACTAACCCGCCCACTCTCTTTGATAGGAATTGTGTACGTATGTGAAAATGGAGAGGAGCCAACATTGTTAGGAAATGGAATTTTTGAAAGAAGAGATGGAGGTATGTAATATATTATGAGCAAAATCTTAATATTAGATTTCTTCTTGTTCCGCAAATTAAATTTTGATATTCAAATTGGGAAGGTGGACATAGACTGTCTCTAGAAGAGATACAAAAACAAGAACAGCAAGAAGGAGTAAGACAGAAAAGAATACAAAAAGAAAAGAAGGAACTAGACAGAGAAAGAGAAAAACGCGAAAGAGAAGAGAGAGAAAGAGAACGAAAAGAACGGGAACGAGCAGAGAAAGAAAGAAAAGTAAATGAGAAGAAATACAGACCAACAGAATCATCAAACAACAATTGGCAAAATAATGATAATCACTGGGAAAGCAACAACAACAATGAACATCAAGATACTTGGCAGAGACCGGCTGTTACTACGACCGCAAGGTAAGTCAACACAAAAAGAATCGATAACGGGGATGATATGATGATTATTTGTTTCGATAAAGACTTATAACAAAACTTCAGAGGTATATCTTAACGAGTCCATCTTATAATTCAGACCCCGACTCTCAGGACCACGATGCAGTGGAAGAGATGGATACGCACCTGTGGATCCGGGACAGATCAGAGTATCGTACAAGAAATCACCTCTGAAAGGTAACTACTTTATGACATGCATTTGACACGAATAACCGTACTTTAGCATAACCTATCCAATAAAATATAGTGAGCATTTATATTTAATATTATTTCATCAGAACGATCGCCATATGACTACAATGAAGTCTTGACTATGTCAATACTGTTCTATGAGGCTCAAAGATCTGGTAAATTACCAAAAGACAATAGAGTTCCATGGAGAGGAGACTCAGGACTTAAAGACGGATGTGATGTTGGACTCGACTTAACTGGAGGATGGTACGATGGTGAGTAATTTTCCTTATCTTTTTAACTGTTAGTTTGTTGTTGCTCGTCAAAATGCCACCTGAACGTCTCTTATATTAACCCACACAAAAAGTCGATACAACATTGCAATGGTATCGGATGATCGTAAATATAAATGGACAAGATAACTATAAGTAACATTTTGTTTTTAAACCGATATATACAGATGTACAGAAACAGATATATACAAGTATAATTTCCCTAATAATTATGACCGAATAATTCAACAATCATGAATTATGAGGTCATCGATGACTCTACTGACATTTGGAACAAATACAAGGTTCATTTGTAACATATGGTACAGATAAGCATCCGTATAAGCGCAATATCATTCACAAATTAAGCAAATTACATAATTAAACCACACGAAATTGCCGCTATTCCATTAATGTAGAAAATGGATAAATAAAGTTATACTGTTTTTGAAAATGAGTCACCGTAGCTACATGCTTTCGACTAAAAACAAATTTTATTTTTAGAAATGCAAGCACGCGTCGTAAAAAGCGAGTTAAATTACTACGTTAAACTAGGCCATTTGAAATCCATAGCTGAATTTTTTTTAATAAACTGAAAAGATAAAAAGGTGAAAGAACGCTTTTCCTTCTTCCACTGTCCCGCTTAAACGTTATTTACATATCTAAACATCACTAATTATACTCAAAAATTATTCAACAAAATTACGTTGCGTTTCAGCTGGTGACCATGTCAAGTTCGTTTTTCCAATGGCTTGGTCAGCAACAACTCTGGCGTGGGGTGCAATTGAGTTTAAAGATGCTTACAAAGATGCGAATGAATACAAGAATATGTTGTCATCACTTAAATGGGTTTCAGACTTTCTTGTTAAAGCACACTCGAGCAAATATGAACTTTATGGCCAGGTATGTTTCAAAAACCGTAAGCATGTTAAACGCTGACAGGCTTTTCACGATTTTAAGTGGAGAAATATTCAAATAAGCTATTTCTTTCTACACTATCGGACAAAGGCAACATTTATAAATCTATTGAAATTGTGAAAATATGTATAGCTCGGCTAGTGACCAAATTAATACACTTCTGATGACTCTTTTTCTATTAATATCAGGTTGGTGATGGTGGAGCTGATCATTCTTATTGGGGTAAAGCAGAAGACATGAACATGAGAAGACCAGCATTTAAAATTACTAAAAACAGCCCTGGTACAGAATTGGCGGGTGAGGTCGCTGCCGCCCTTGCTGCAATTTCAATATTATTCCAACGTGAAGACTCCAAATACTCTAAACTTCTTTTAAGACACGCTGAAGAACTGTATGAATTTGCTGATAAATATAGGTAAGACGGAATGGGAACGTTTGATATTTTGATTGGTTTGGTAGGAGCAATTCATGGCCCCGAACAGACTTAATTGTAGGCAACTTCGAACTATTCGTTCCATCTCAAGTGTAAAATTTGATTTGACAATAGTTGGTAAATGAAGCACGCAAACAATAATTTTAATTTTATGATATTACGACGATCAATAGGGTACTTCAAAACAATATCATAAGTTTACTTTCCTTTCTTCAGGGGTGATTATCATAAAGCTATACCTGCTGTCGGAGGGTATTACCGATCATACAGCGGTTACAATGACGAGTTGGTATGGGGCGCATTGTGGTTGGCCAAAGCAACCGGCAAGAAATCGTATCTAGATGATGGAGTCAGAAAATACAATCAATACGGAGGTTCACACACTCCAAAGATGTTTTCTTGGGACGACAAGAGGGCTGGATCACAGGTGACTTTTGTTTTCAAGGATTTCCGCTACTTCAAGGAAAACGAGATAAAAGTAATGTCAGCCCATTTTAAAGAACTGTTTGAACGGACCTTCAGAAAGTCTGAATGACACAAAGATTTAGCCCTAAAAATTATATGTTAAATTCGTAATACATTCGAGGATTTCAAGACCCCCTACGGCCTACAAGATACATATGATATCTTCATGTGATCCCAAATATATATATATATATATATACCAAACTCCGACATGAACAAGACAATGTGGGAATATTATTGGGGCTTATGAAACAATTATATTTTTCCTTCGCATATTAAATCAACTTTGTTTTTTACAAATATAGGTTTTGATAGCACAGTTGACCGGTGATGAGAAATACAGAGAACATATTATGAGCTATCAAAATTTCTTAACAAGTTATAAAAAGACGCCAAAAGGAATGGTGTGGCTCGACCAATGGGGATCCAACAGATATGCTGGTGAGTAACAATTCGGTATTTTCCTTGCAAACAATTCATTACCAATACCTGTGGAATAAAGATATCTCAAATAAGACATTTGCTTAGAGAATTGTTCAATATACTTTAAATAACATTGTATTCACTTGATTTTATTCAGCCAGTGCTGCTTTCATCAGTCTGGCAGCTGCCAATTTGCAACCACCAATGCGAGAAAAGGCAAAACTCATAAAATTCGCTGAGAAGCAAATTCATCTTATGCTTGGAGATGCAGGAAGAAGCTACGTCGTTGGTTATGGGAGAAATCCACCAGTTCGGCCTCATCATAGATCGAGGTATTATTAACAATTCAATTATGGAATTCAGATCTTCCTGTAATAACTTTACACAAAGACATTACACACATTCTTTTATTCAGCTCATGTCCTCCTCCACCGAGTGCATGCGATTGGAATTCAGCATACAACAATCCTGCTGGCAATCATTTCACTTTGTACGGAGCATTGGTCGGGGGACCAAGTGAGAAGGGTATTTACGTTGATAAAAGAAGCGACTTTGTTTCTAATGAAGTTGCCACTGATTTCAATGCAGGATATCAGTCTGCTTTAGCAGGTAAGAGAACAAGAAACAGATTATCTTTTTTTTGCAAGAATTATTGTTAGAAGCATTTCTACATTACATTTTCATCAACAGCCAGGCCCGGTAGCTTGTATCAAACATGTTATTTTGCCGAAAATTAAAAGCACAGTGCATACAAAACCTAATTACATTAGTTGTTCATTCAAAATGAGAACAACCAGAAAAGTGTGTGCACTGCGCACCAAAGATGATAGTCATGTCATTATATACATATAATGAAGCTTAGCGCATAAAGACCAAATTAAATACCCACGAAAATATGTTATCAAGTTTTTTTTTCTTGTTTCAGGTCTTAAACATTTTCAGATAGAAGCAAGATATAAAGCTTAACTGCAGCATTTTCTACACATTAATTTATTAGCCTGACAATCATTTCTACCCAGTCAACGAATAATGTCTCGGTACAAGTCGAACCTGACAGACTAAGATTAATTTTCGATTAATTTGAAGATGTGAGAAATATTTAGTTCTAGTTACTTCAAGTTTCAATCTTCTATTTGTGATATTCACGACTACTACAAACTCATTTTTGCAGTTTGGTGTTAATTTTATACTGATCCATGTGAGTTCGGTTTGAAATAAAAATATTTTATAATAGCATATATTGTGTTTTTAAATTGTGGGTTAATCTAAAGGTTTCGTACGCAACACCATGAGAAAAATGTATTATCGATTTTGATTCGTGCACAAGCATTGCCAGGACTTTAATTTCAAATACTTGATGAATCCTAACTTAATGAGATGAGTCTTACTGTGCCAATTTTGTATGTGGGAATGTAATTGGTCAACGCGATAATAGGATGTACTTCGCACCGAAACCCAACATATTAACGATATAAAGAAGGTTACATCACATAAAAAGTATTCTTTACCCCTTCCAAAGGAATCGAAAGTTTGTTGCAACATCCATAATGATACGCGGGTAACGCTATCTGTTTTCTTGTGACAAGCGCGGCACTGACCAACATGCGCATATCAATGTATTTCGTTTGTCCAGAAATGTCATCCCCAAATTACCAAAAGCCCCATGCTTTCAACATGAATACATGTGCTAAAATCCGTCTGCTATATACTTTGAACGCAGTCAAGCTTCTGTCGATAAACATCATCGAGAAACGTAGCGTTAGAAGTTATTTTTGATTTTTATTGTATATATATGGGGATATTTAGTATACTTAGGTCCTTTAGGATATTTATTCATGTTGCACGTCAATTTTTCAAAATTTGTTTTCTAAAGAGTGGATATTGTTTGATAGATATTGAACGGAATTTTAGCGCTCCACTCTAACATAAATGCAATAATATATGCAAGATATGGCGCCGCGCAGTATCCATTTATACTAAACAAAAAGCATCCTGTGATGAGAACCATATCTGGCACTGATGTCAAGCACAATGCATCAAATGAATGTAAAATTTTTAGTAATCAACAAAAAGGATGGTTATTTTAAGTTCCAGGCAATCAGTCAATACTCGGACCACGGGCATCTAATAGCAGCAAAACAGCAAAAGTAAATAAAATGATTACAAGGAGCAAACAATCGTTGGCGAAAAAGCAGGCAATGAGTGATCAAAATCACACATTGAATAAACAAGTCTTTATTGTTTGATAGACTTTGTCATCGGGCATACATCGACAGCATTTCTAATATAAGATAGGTTTGTGACGAATATATATTAGTGAATTTTCTTCGATATCCAGTGTTGAAATTGTAACTTCATTCGGCTTCAGCACTAATGTAATAATCTATAGCTTTTGAAGAAGATTGTAAATGCTAGAACCAGGGCTACTCAACTATTTTTACCGAAGATCCGCATACAAAGCTTCAAAATTATTTGGGTCCGGTGTTTCCAGAAATTATATTTCAGCATCCCTGAACGCGCACATTTTCTCCACCGGCTAATGATTATCAGCTAATCAAGATTGTTTTTTATTGTTTTATAGTTCTATTCATATATATTCAAACAACAAAAGTCATTTTATAAAATGAAACTTCAAAAGTGGGGCTAATGATCCAACCTAAAGAATTAGGTGCGGTCCGAATGTAATTCTCGAAAAGTCCGGATTCGGACCGCGGTCCGCCAGTTGAGTAGCCCTGTGCTAGACTATAATATTTCTGTGATATATATACACAAAGTCAAAGTTATTAGAAAAATTATTGAAATAGGAAAGCCAGAAATTCGGGTGACTTCTGTGAATGGATCAATAACAGGCCTTCTTTGCACCAAAACTCCCTTGGCAAAGGACGAAATATACCTATTCTATGGCATGTCTTTTAAGGTGATGAAATTATAGAAAACACGGGTGAGTTTGAACTTTCATCTGGATGGAACATACAGTGGCTCTAAACAATATTGATTACGAAACAGGATATTCCGTAACAAAAAGAAAGCAAGTCATAATACAAATAAAATGAACCTGATAATTCTAAAATAAACTCACAAGAACAAATATCTTTGAATGGGTCAAATTCTATGAATGCAAAGTCAATTGGTTTTTCTTGAGTTACAACGCACTTTATTTAATTTGGTTGTCATGACAAGCAGTGCAGATGATGATAGTGCAAAAATACTAAAGAATACAGCTTTACACAACAAAAAATTCTAAAGTAAGAAGGCATTTGTTAGAAAGCTATAAATAATAAACCATTCCCGTACTCAAGTCTTACAACGTCAAGTTTTCCGCACTTTAGGTCTATTTAATCGTAACTTACGGAACATATATCTTGGAGCTTGAAAAAAATATTGCTATGAATTCAATAGAAGTTTGGCACTTCGCTAGTATCAGAATATGTATGATATGAACAGTACATTAAATTACGGTCTTATCAGGATGTTGTTTGACCAATGACAAGAAAGCAAACAGACTTGAAAATTTAAAGGAATTCGATCGAAACATGGAAAGTGTAAATTTCCTGGCGACTATCGCAAACAAGATGGAAAAGCTGTTGAAACCGAAACTAATGGACTCGAAATAATGTTGAAAAATAGCTATGAAATATTTGGTACTCCCTTAGTATGTGTGCCAGGTTAGGGTTAGGCCATAATTTTATTCTGATTTTCTTAATTTTAATTCTATTCGAGTTCGGGGACTTTCTATGTTAGCGAGATGAATATACCTCCTTCCCATGGCTTCAGGCCCTTTACACAACTTGATGTAAAGTAGGCGAACAAAATTAGTTACCTCCATATCGGTACACATACTTCTGGAGCGTCAAATATTTTATACCCATGAATACGTTTGAAATATTCATTCTAGCTGCTTATACCAACGAGAAAATCGTTAAATCAACCAACAGTACACCAGTTACAAAGTGAAGAGCTAGTTAAAAAAAATTGCAATAATTTTGGGAACAGATTAGGTAAAATTTTACAACAAATTACGTCCTAGATAAGATAAATCGAGACTTTTATATTTGTACAATAAAATCAATAACTAATTACAGTAAATTTAGCATATAATTCAGTAAACAATTGAGCTTTTTTTATAATTCAGTAAATTCAATGGTAGATGTACCATATGTTTGTATCGCTGATAGAGTACTGAGTATCATTACATCTGCTGACCACGCTTGGAAGTGATGTACCATTTCAACGGCGTTGCCTAAATTATAGCTCAGTAAACTCCAAAATTTATTCTAACTGTATATTTTCAATCCAAATATTTGTTAAGCATTGTTTTGTGTAGTAGATAATGATTGGCTGGCTGGAGGTAGATTTACCTCGGAGCTGGCTTAGACACATATTCCGGTAAGTCAGCTGATATTTGGTATCGCAGCAAACAAAAATACGTCATTCCCAGTGAAAATGTTTGCTTTACAACGTCCTGACATGTTTCTACCTTCAGAAAACAAGCGAGGGGATTATTATAAATATTATTAGTCAGTTTCAGCCTAGATACAATACATTTGTCTTTCAGTTTTTATCACTAATGTAATCGCAAAGGGAACGGATTTGAGGAAAGCAAATCTGCGAAAGCCAGAACGCCCGGTAGAATAACAGTGAAAAATCACCAAGGCCACGTACAGATAAACTAATATTTGCCAAAGAGTTCAGTATGCATGATACAAAAGAGAAATTTCAAGTAAATATTACAGAATGGTATATATATTCACTGTAATACTGTATGTAATTTCAACTTCTTTGTAAGGGGGGATATGTTAGGTGACATCAGAGTCAGTTAGGACAAATTAATGAATACTGATATATATATATATATATTCCGTCAGTATTAACAAATAGTAGCAAACAAATTTGCCAATAGTGATCAAACCGAAAATTTAACCGATTTTGCTTCAGTGAACACTGTGAATAGTTAAAATGTCTTCCGATACTGAATCTTGTCAATATGGTGAAAGTAGAGCTCAACTTTGTTACGATTTCGCTTCTTGGGATTATGTCGTATTCGGAATGTTGTTTGTTGTTTCGGCGTCCATTGGAGTGTTTTTTGCATATCGATCAAGGAACAAAACAGAAGACGAAGATGATTATTTGCTCGGAGGCAGAAGCTTGTCTGCAATTCCCGTATCATTATCACTGACTTCAAGTTTCATGTCAGCGATTACAGGTATATAGCAAGAATCAGTATTTGCTTTCCAATGTGTTATTCGCGATTAATGCAGATCTCTGTGATTTTGAATTGAGATTAGTATTTTTTTTTTAAATTAATTTTATCAATACACAAGAACAATATGATAATCTTTCTCTATGAAACTACCCACAGCAAATACGTGGCAGCATCCAACTACAGCAATTCAGTTTTGTTCAATTACATGAGGCACAAAATGTTTTTCAGTTCTTGGAACACCAGCAGAATTCTACATTTATGGAACAATGTTTTGGTGGTACGCTATATCCTACACAATGGTTGGTATCATTGTGTCACAGATTTATATTCCAATATTTTACCGTCTCGGAATAACCAGCACTTATGAGGTAAGCAATAAAGAAATAAATGTTCGGTGAAAATGCAAAAAATAGTTTGGGAATCTAGTCAATCTACTTGTACATTACACAAAAAGATTTATTTCCTTATAAAACAGCGTTTTATATTGGCATTTCAGTACTTGGAAAAACGGTTCAGCAGGCCTGTACGAATTTTAGCAACAACAGTATTCATTGTTAACACGGTGCTATACGTTGGTATATGTATATATGCCCCTGCATTAGCACTCAATGAAGGTAATTCAATTTAAAACATTTGTCACAATATGTGATAGGTACACAACAAGCAAAAATAAAATGATAAGCAAATAAATATAATGTGTACAAATAAATAAAACTGGGAAGCAAGCATACAGTAGTCAACGAGACTAGACGTCAAATGACTAATATTTAAATATTGAACACCGGAAATTGAAACAAACTATAACACAAACTTGTGGCATATCCAGAATTTCGTCAGAAATAATGGATATTGTTTATTGCATTTTAATACAAGCAGTGAAAGGCCATAGACAAGGCACGCTCGCATGATCTTGCCATGAGGTAGTAAACATATATTATATATATACACTTGTTTCAGTTACTGGATTGGGAGTATGGTGGTCGGTAGCGTTGACTGCAGTAGTGTGTACGTTTTATACGACACTAGGAGGATTGAAAGCAGTAGTATGGACAGATGTTTTTCAATGCATGGTTATGTGGATCGGATTCATCGCAATTTTAATCAGAGGGAGTATTGTTATGGGAGGATTCGGGAATATTTGGAACATAGCATCAGAAGGAGGAAGAATAGAATACAATAAGTATAAAAACAGAGTAATATAAACGTATTATTGTGTCGTTATACAAGTAAGCAATGCTAAATGTTTGGACACGTAAACCAAAACGAAATATTAAGGGTATTCAATCGCGACTTCGAATGACCACAACATCGCAACGATCTCGAACACGGAACCGCCACAAGGTGCGCAATTTTTTATTTTGATGACTTCATCACACACAAAAAAAACAAATTCCATGAAGATCACAAAAAATTTTGAAATAAATAAATTAATAGCATTCTAGCGACATCAAAAGTCTTTAAAGATTAAATATTTCAAAGTAATTGATCCAGTCTTAAAAAGAAAAACAGAAGCGTTTCACCGTAACAATAGCCTTCTAGCGACAACAAAAATCTTTAAACTAATAAATTTCAAAGCGATTGGTCCAGTACTTGAGGAGAAAAGCGATTCTTATATAACAACACGAAAAAGAATTCCAACAAGAAACATAATACCAAAACGATCTATAGATCGATTTCGTGTCATATAAACTTGCAGAACGTTGACGCATGATTCAGTGACAAATTTTCTACATAACTGAAAAAGGTGAAATGCCTAACAAATTGCAGATTCTCATTTGACCCCACAATACGTCATACTTTCTGGACAATTACGATCGGAGGAACATTTCTATGGACTGGTACATATGGCACAACGCAGTCAATGGTACAACGTTACATTAGTTGCAAAAGTGAAAAACACGCACAAGTGTAAGTTATGTAACTGTAGTACTCTTGCAATTATCTTTCAGCAAATTAACCATCAAACTTAAATCGTGACTTGCAATGTTGATGTACTTTAATTTACGTAGAAAATGTGATTGAGGGCACCAGTAGATATGATATCTCGATTTCAATTCTAAAGCCTATAGTCTAGCATAAATCAAGATAATCGGATGATTCCCTTCAACGTCGTCTGAATTCAAATTATTTCATAGGCATAAATTATTGGTTCCCAAATATACTCCAATTAATCTACAAAAATTTCAATTTAGATACACCGTGCATGACTATCTCAAAGTTTTATTAAAATGGTAAAATTTCAAACAAGTTTTTCTGAGACAAATCTAATCATGTTCATATTCACTTTTTATTCAGAGCTGTGCTGCTGAACGTCATTGGACTTTACATAATCCTGATACTGACCGGTCTATCTGGCCTCACAATGTACGCTTACTATGCCAGTTGTGACCCATATTCTAAAGAATGGGTGGGTGCGACAGATCAGCTCATGCCCTATTTTGTTCTAGAGCTATTGCACGATTATCCTGGGTTGCCAGGTATCTATGTCTGCAGTGCTTTCAGTGGGACTTTGAGGTAAATATTACTTTTTCGGAATAAAGTTTTAGGAGTACACCCATATTCTCTCCATAATTTTTCTTCGAATGTACTTCTATCATCATTTATAAAGGCCCATAGTTCCTTCATTAAATCGAAGTACATATTATATAACCCAAGTTACTGTGTTTTCAGTACTGTCTCTACAGGCATCAATGCAATGTCTACGGTGACAACTGAAGATTACATAAAACCTTTGAAAAGTCTTAGTCCAAGAACAACTATTATTCTGTCCAAAGTAAGTGATTGCTAATGTTGTGTTGGCAAACTATAGTATTAGACATTGGGACATTCGGCAACTTCTTACAGGAAATTTTTAAACTATGCAATCTTTTAGCAAGCGTTTTAGAAGCAACTTTTTATACATTTATAACCTAATTTGTTGTGATGTCCCAAATAAATACAGTGGGCGCCACGAGCACCATATTTGAAAACTGGACATTGCCCGATTTTTATCATATTAATTTCTCAACTAATAATAGCCATCAAAAGTTAGAGAGAAGTGAAAGTAAATTAAGAAGTGCTATCCGTTCTTCAGATATTTGTTGTGATATATGGTGCGATTTGCATGGCAATGGCAGTTCTGGCATCGCAACTAGGAGGAGTACTACAAGCTGCTTTGAGTATCAATGGAATAGTGGGCGGACCGATGGTGGGATTGTTCACACTTGGCATGATACTGCCATGGAGTAACTCGATCGTAAGTTTAACAAGCCATTAACAACTTTTGTGACAATATCCTAATCGTAAATTTATTTACAAAACGTTCTACTTTGGCGGTGACCTTGTATATATTGTTAATTAAAAAAATTCACAAGCAGTAAAATAGAAACCGTAAAAAGCCGCCGACGTGTGTATAATTCTATTTCGTGTCTGAATAGTCAATAGACATAAAAGAACCAATTAAGAAAGAGCGAAAAGCTAATCACACAGCAAAATGAGCTAGCGATGCTTAAAAGAAACTATCCCGAGGTAAGAGTATAAAAAAATAAAACGAATGGTAAAACTATATATTTCAGGGAGCCTTCGTTGGTGTCATCTGCGGTTTGGGATTTTCTTCTTGGGTGTATGTTGGAAGTACAATATATCCACCTTCAGCAGAGAAAAGAGGAGTTTTACCACTTTGTACAAATATGTGTAATACTACGGCAGATATGTCATGTGGATTCAATGAAACCATGGAAAAGACAAGTAAAATAATAATAAAAGAAGTCGTCATCACAATGAACCAAACTTAATCATATTCCTCATGGACATAGTTAAATATGTCGACACGAAGGTGACGGTTTGTCCCCAGCACGGTGAAGCCTTAGACAGGCGCCTAGTTTCTGAAAAGATCGCTAACAAGCGTGACGCTGTGAAATGTTTCCAAATTCCATTAAAAAAGTATTCCAATGAATTAAGATAGGTACAATTTATAAAAAATAAAAATAATAGCCTAATAGCGAATCCTCACATCTTGATGTTAGTGGACAGAATGGATATCGAATGGTCCACACGAAAACTCACAACAAACAAAGCGATCTATTTGTACAATTGGTTTTCAATAAACATACATCTTTAAACTTTTCATATAGCTCTACCACCGTTCACAACAACAGTTGGTCCAACAGTAGAACCTCCACCTATCGCAGCATTCTATTCACTGTCATACGCTTACTATCCAGTACTTGGATTCTGTGTCACGATCGTCATCGGATTACTCACATCATTTCTAACTGGTAAGATCTTAAGTGTGCTTTTCGTAAATCGCGATGGTGTAATTCGCTACAATGCAATCAATACCTGTTACATGTTACATTCTAGGATACCAACACCCATCCAAGCTGCCACCCGGAACGGTTTATAGATTTTTCGATCATCCTGTATTTATGTGGTTACCTAAAAAAGTTAGAAGATGGCTTTGGTGCGGAGTTCGTCATGGCGAAAACAATGATGACAAGGATTATATCGGTGATATGTCGTATGGGTTCGAAACTATCCGTGATACAAAGCAAGATGAAGGAAATTCATATCGGTATAAAGGAGATAATGTTGACTTTATTCCCGGGGGAGAGAAGAATGGAAACGAATATGAAAATAAAACAAACGGTTATTCTGGACCCGAATATGGCTACAGCAACAAAGCGTTCCAACTACCTAACGAAGGGCCGAATATCACAAGCACAGCTTTATAGATCCAATTTAGTGGGCAAAATTTAAAAAGTTAGGTCATTAATTAGAGAAAGCAAAAGTAACGTTTTAACCTATTCTGCTTATTCTAACTAAGCCAGCAAGTATGAATACCCACGTGAAACTTTTCTGCTCGCGCTGTAGTTGCCAACCCATTTATTATTACATTCACCAAGCAAAGATATTTTTTCAGTACTAAAATAGCTGGAGTAACGTTTACCTTCATAAGTCCTAAAGGCAATGCGTATCTCCGAAGAATAATAAAGATATTACTTTTTCATCCGTTTACTTAAAAATAGAGATTTTCACATTATGTTTCTGTGAACATTGAACAATGAATTCCTGTGTTAATTACAATTGGAATCAAAGCGTATATACAATAAAATAATAAATGCATTGATCAGAAGTGATATATCAGCGAATAACGCCGAACAGAGACAAATTTGCTGAACTATTTGTCCTATATATTTAACTTACAAGTTACAGAAAAAGACAGCGAATGGGTTATAAACGACGGATCAACGACGAAATGCAAACTTAAGCGGGATATTGGCTACTAAAAAAATATAGGATATGAAGACCTAAGGAGACCCTTTTCTAATGAGGCATTCATAAACATTGAGAAATCTAGTGTATCAACGACCAATATGGGTGAATAAACGACATTTATATCGTTTCAAAAAAATAACTCATCAAACAGCAATATACGGTAAGTTCCGAATAATACATCCTCTAAAATCCGCGGGTTCAATCTATATGCGGGTGCTAAAACCCATAGGTCAGGGTTAGTATGGGTTCAAATATCCGTAAGACAAAAAAAAAATGCATGCGGCTCGCCAGACTTTTTGTGCGGCTCTTCTCGCTAACATAAATTATTATCAAAATTTTAACTAAGAGAAAAACTTTAATGTGAACTTTTTTAGATTTATTAAAAGTCGTAAAGAAGTTTTCGTCAATGATTAAGACAATTTTTTAGTATGAAAATCGCTGTAGCGTTGAATTTTGAATTTAAGTCAGTCAAGTCAGCAAATCTTTCGTCACGATGGTCAATGTTTATTGATGCGTCCGCGGTATTGCAGCTTGATTGTGGTTAGTTAGTCTGAGTTACTATGCGATATGTCCTCAATTAAGAAAGGAAAGTACGGAGATGAAAACAGAGTTGTCAAGTCAGGGTGGGAAGAAGAAAGAATACGCATTTACCAGTCAGGAGAATTAACTCTTGTGGTTAATCTGCCATAAGCTACTAAGTCAGAATAATCAGAATAAAGTTAGCAATGTTAAACGGCACCATGAAACGAATCATGAAAACTTCTTACGAGACTACCCTCGTAAATCAGCAATAAGGAAACACAAATTAAATGAGCTCAAATTGTGCATATATTTGAGCATAGCTGCCTTATTTATCTATTTATTGTTAATAGACTCTTGTGTAAATTTCTTTTCTGTTCATGGTAAATAAATTCACAAATTCTGCGGCTCTTTTAAAGTTCTGACTTGCAGCATGCGGCTCTTATACTAAAAAAATGTGCCCACCCCTGATCCTAGAGTCTAGCTAGACCAATTGATTGAAATTTTCAGTGTTTAATTAAAGATTTTTTTCTTGCTATTCCGTTTATTTATTTTAAAATTTTCTGTGGGCTCTGTGAATTACTTTTTTGTGTGCAATGACGTCATCAAAATTAAAAATTGGCACCTTGTGGCAGTTCAACGTTTGCGTTAGGGAGGAGTCGTAAAGATTTCGGTACCGGTAGTTTACAGTGACAGATTGCATACCCGTACTACCTCGTTTTGGCTTTTGTGTTCATATATTTAAGTCTCGTTTTTTTTTAGATTGTAGCCTTCTAGTCTAGTGCTTCCAAGCACCCCAGTCCGTCGTAAGAGCATTCAGCAACTTCAAATACTTCCCTACGTCTGAAGTAATTAAAGCCATTTCTTCATAGATTTCAGACGTTTAGTGACCTAATCACCTAGGTCCATCGGGAGAAATTCCTGTGACTTTATTCGTTTAGATTTCAACCACCTCATTCCATCGGGAAAAAATATCAACAACTTCTTTCAACGTTTAGATTCTTAGTGTGCCGTCGTGAATTTATCCATTCTTTCTATATTTCAGCTTTTTTAAAACCAATTCACCCAGCAGTTAGAACCACGTTTTTTCAATTTTCAGCTTGTCATTGCTTTTCAATTTTTCATCTTCGGAAACAATGCAACATTCTGGTTTCATGACTTTTCCTTATTTTTTCTTTCGGTCATATAGTGTTGCGCTAGTCAGTAGGTGGTTAAAATTTCGCTAATCGCTGACCGATCACTATGCCCTTTCTATTTGCAAAACGCATTATTGCAAATAGCATAAATATAAAAAAATTCAAAAGCCATAAGATCCATAGTCGTAAAAATACACATTGGAACCGAGTATACCTGCACAGTGCCGATATCTCTAAAAAATTGAACCCCAACCTGGTACAGCTACTATGTTCAGGTTGTGCGCCATCCTGGTGCACATACTTCGGGAGCGCCAAAAAATATTCAAATTTTTTAGAGGTCCTTTTTTTTGCTACACCAGAGGTATCCATTTTGATCTGAGCAAAAATCGACGAAATTCTATGCAGTAGCGAGGAAATGGGTTTTCAACAAAGTTAAAATGGGGATAAAAACTTCAGGGTTCTCCATGGCGCATATTCTTTTAAAGTCTCACATTTAGAATGCAGAAGATTTTTTTTGATCGTTGGCAATCCATTTCCAAAACAAAGTCACAATTTTTTGTGGTTAATTGAAATCATGATATCTCCAGATTTATTACATCTAAGGCGACACCCTCATCCACTATTCTAGTTATATCTCTTTCCGATCCAATTTACAAGATTTTTCAAATGAAAAACACTTTTTATTAAATGTTGGGTTCGGTGGAATACGAAAAGTGGAGCAGACCTGTGCAAAATAATATAGGTAATATTTGTCATAAGTATATGACTATATTTTCTCCAGGACACTTCAATTGTTTGGGCTCACTTTATGGAACCAAAGCTTCAAGCGAGGGAGCATATGATTGACTCACATTCACGAAGCATAATTGATTAGATGTATTTGAAACCTCAGAATCGAATCTACAAACACAAAACGACAATTTATTTTTTCGTATAAGTTCACAGTGTTCAAGCCAATATTGACAATAGCAACACGCCTGCTCGTTAAACACCGCATCGGACAGTGAATGATGTTATATGATTAGTGCCGTAGACACCGATGCAGTGAAAACATTCAATATCAAGAACTCTGTGAAATGGAATGCAGCATTGGAGACGTGAGATCTCAGACATGCTACACTTTCGGAACGTGGGACTATGTTGTATTCAGTTCATTATTCGTTATATCGGGAGGGATTGGCCTATATTTCGCATATACGTCACGTACAAATGAGGAAGATAAGGAAGATTATCTCTTGGCTGGACGTAACTTACCGGCTTTTCCGGTATCTTTATCAATGACAGCAAGTTTCATGTCGGCAATAGCAGGTACAGTTGTTTCATTTGGTTTATTTAAATTTAAACAGTAAGAGTACGAAAACTCATGCAGTCGGTACACTATACTCACGTCGAACGCAACCAATGCCTATATTTCATTGTAAAGTTATTTTCTAGCATGGCACACGTTCCGGGTATTCTGTTGTCATGTTTACAATAAAAACGCTTGGAAATTAAACTTAATACATTAACGTAACAATCGAAGATTCTCAAATAAAGTAAAAAAATCTGGACGCGTTTCTCAACTTCATATTTGAATTTTTCAACAGTACTCGGCTTGCCATCAGAATTTTATATATTCGGAACAATGTTTTGGTGGTATGCTCTGTCTTTTCTTCTAATGGCAATCGTCATGTCTGAAGTATACATACCGATTTTCTATCGTTTGAAGATTACGAGCACATATGAGGTAAGAGCGTTGTATGTGGTTTAGCCTATCTATATAAAAGGGAAATTTTTGTATACCAAATAAGCAATTTTAGTAACCGTACATGTTAACTCTTTACTCGTCAAATCAAAATAAAATCACCGACGTTACCAAACCAACAAAACTATTTCAATTTGTCCTTAGAAAAAAAATAGCATATCGGCTAGTCAATTTGGTATTGGCACTTTGATCTGTGACTAAGATTTCGTACTACAAATACTTATACTCACAAAAGATTTTTTTGCAGTACCTTGAAATACGATTTAATAGACCCGTTAGACTACTTGCAACAACTGTATACATCATCAACTCGAGTTTATATGTTGGAGTAGTGATATATGCACCTTCACTTGCTTTGAATGCAGGTAAGAAATTAAAATCATATAGATAAAACTGAATATAAAACGAACATGACGCTTCTGGCGGTGAAGATAATACTTTCTTCCATTATTTGAATTAAACTCAGCGGTGTTGCTACTCAGGGTGCGTGGTCTCTACTCTCTGATTACGAATTACTAAAAAGAACTTGATAATAATCGGAAATTTTCGATATCCATGTCCCTCTAACGTCGAGTAGAGTCTGATTCAGAGTTGGGTCATTCCATCGAAACGACTTGAGCCAATTCTAGGATTTGCATAAAGTTGCTCCGATTTGATTCGACCTAATGACATAAGTCGCCGCGAAAATCCGTGTGGTATTTAAAAATCATTCAGATCTCGTGGTGAAGATTTCAAAAAAAAAATGGAAATGTTTTGTCGCCAATGCTTACCACTGACCATGAGCGCAATATATGAATACCAATAGCGAGTCCATAATTTTTGTTTTCCTTCATTTTCAGTGACGGGTCTTGGGATTTGGTGGTCAGTGGCACTGACAGCTGGTGTATGCATGTTCTATACTTCCCTTGGCGGAATGAAGGCTGTTGTTTGGACTGATGTATTTCAGTGCTTAGTAATGTGGATCGGTCTGGTCGCGGTAATAGCAAGAGCATCAGTTTTACTCGGGGGATTCAATAATATGTGGCAAATTGCATCAGATGGCGGGCGAATACAGTTCGAAAAGTAAGCAAAGCGTGCCTGAAAATACAATGTTATAACGAGTATTTTTACACAAACATGCATGGTATTTGCAATGAAATCGTTTAAATATGAGTTATCGAAACTTTCGTCGATCAAAGTTCCGCTAAATTTTTTGCAGTCTCAGATTTTTTAAAATTTAAAATTCTCAGCTTCGATATAGACCCAAGAATGAGGCATACGTTCTGGACAATTTCACTCGGAGGAACACTTTACTGGATAGGAACATATGGAACTACTCAAACTATGGCACAACGATATATAAGCTGCAAAAGCGAAAATCAAGCAAGGCTGTAAGTGAATCAATATATACTGTGAAAAAAAGCGCATTTTAAACATATGTTAAAGACACTTCACCAGCCATCAAAATTAATAGTTTAAAAAGGAATGCAACGATGTGACCACTACAGTGTTAATGTGAGCAATGACATATAACATATTGTTATATGTCATTGATGTGAGAGGCCGTACATTGAGTATTAACTTTGGTATACCGGAGAAAGTTTCGTGTTTCCAGCAGTCGTACACTTTTTCAATTCTCACAGCAATTTAAATTTTAAGGGCTGTTCATCTCAATGTCATTGGGTTATGGATTGTGCTACTTCTCGTCGGGTTTGCTGGACTGTTTATGTATGCATATTACGCTGGGTGTGATCCTTACTCAAAACAATGGGTTGGGGCAACAGACCAACTTATGCCTTATTTTGTGCTTGAGATACTGCATGACTATCCGGGATTGCCAGGAATATTCGTATGTAGTGCTTTTAGCGGAACATTGAGGTAATTAATATATGTCTCTCAACTGATTTCGTAGCATTTTGATAAGTGAAATTCAAAATATGTTTCTAAACTTGGTATTCATATAGCACAGTGTCCTCAGCAACATCTACAATGGCTATAATATGTTTTTCAACTGTTTCCGTAGCATTTTAATTAGTGAAATTCAGAATATGTTTCTAAACATGGTATTCATGTATTCATATAGCACAGTGTCCTCGGCGACAAATGCAATGGCTACTGTCACTCTCGAGGATTTCATAACTCCGTTTAAGAAATTATCTGCAAAGAAAACGCTGATTTTGTCTAAAGTAAGTTCCGTTAATTTATTTCATAGTTTGTCTTCAATAAATTGCTTACCTGCTATTGAAAGAACGTGACTAACTCTTGGATGTGCTAAATAGCTTCCTGGCTATAAACAACGCTGGACATAAGGGTATTACATTTTGAGGTATTTATAGCATCGTTATAGAAAATTGTCTCAACGTTTGTACACAACAAAACGATTCGGACATAGAACTTTTCTTCTACAACACGTACAACAAACAAAACAATAATTAAAAATTAATTTTTTTTGTAGGTCTTGGTAGTAATTTACGGGCTATTGTGTACAATTATGGCAGTCTTGACATCACAACTGGGAACAATATTAGAAGTGGCATTCTCAATTAACAGCATCGTTGCAGGAGGGATGACGGGGTTATTCACACTCGGAATGTTGTTGCCATGGTGCAACTCGTACGTAAGTTATATTACATGTAGATTTTCGGTATATAATATAGAGTCGTAAAATATTGATATCGAAAAAGTTTGTTCACGATTGTTGAACGTGTATATGACTGTATTTTCATTTTTAGGGTGCCTTTTCGGGACTGTTATCCGGGCTAGCAATGTGTATTTGGGTGTATGTTGGAAGCACTATCTATCCGCCAACAAGCGAAATGTTACAAATATTACCACTATGTACTGATAATTGCAATGGGACAAGTTCTTCGTGTGGGATATCAGATATTGAAACAACATACGGTTCGTAACGTTTTTGCTATTCAATGAAGCACTGACATGATGACATAAATAAGTTTTTCTAGAGCATGCATGTTAACAATTAAATATCAATACAATATATTCGTTTCTTCAAGTGAGTCACAAATCTTGAGATAACAGTTGTATACTTATAAGTTCACAATTTTCAAAAAACTTCCTATGGAGATAACATATGAAGAACTACGAACCCTCATCTACAGGTCAGGAAAAAATAGTTAATCAATTATTCATTCCAGATGCATGGATTGGAACATAAACCAATCGAACGCCATGTGAACAAATGTGTAAAGCGGTCAATAGCGGTCCCACACACACTAATTCTACTTGTCATTTAAACTTACAACACCGCACATGCAAATTGCCCGTAATATGACCCAAGATGTACAGAACGTCGGGTCAAGCAAGCGGCACAAATCAAAATAATAGACCTCCAAAACTCAGAAAGGCAAATGTTTTGCAATTGCTGAGTACTTCAGATCAAGATACGGTATCTTAATAAACTTCCCATTACAGCACCGTACGTCGAAACAACTATAGTCACCTACAATGCAACCACGCCAACGGACGTCCGACCTCCAATAGCGGAGCTGTACTCGGTATCTTACCTTTATTACAATATCATCGGCTTTCTCACCACAATTATCGTTGGACTTGTCGTATCCTTCGCAACGGGTATGTTATTATACATAGTCGCAATGCGCTTCAAAATAGCAAATTCTTAGAGTAACTAAACCTCATTTTGATGTATCATTCTTATATAATAAACATGCCTTTAGACTTACAGAAAATACAGAACCGTTTTGTAACAAAATTGACAAAATTCATAATAAGTCTTCAAAGTTAGGTTTAAGTGTTACGTCTCATTACTGTAATTCATACCCAAAACTTCGCAATAAAAGTCAATAATAGAACTCACTAAACTACGGTTTACTTAAGATAATAATACGATTAGTGGTGAAAGTAATTAATCGTTAAATGTGTATGTAGGAGAAATACTATTTGCAGTACCCCATGAAACTATCGTAAAATGTTTACATAAAAGTGCAATTTTGTATTTATCAGAGAGCACAAAGTAAAATATAAACATTTCAAAAATATTCACATTCAACCAAACATTTTTAATTAGTTGCTAAATATGTTTATATTGCCTATTTCCAGTTCGATGGGCACAACAAAGATTGTCATTCTGGGTTATCAAAAGCTAAACATTGATATTCGGTACTTATTTTAGGATACCAAGAACCCTCCCTACTCCCACCTGAAACGATTCGACCTATTTTTGATCACTTACTGTTTCGATGGTTGCCGAAAAAAGTGCGTCGATTTCTCTGGTGTGGAGTGAGGCACGACCGAGAAGAAGAAGATCAAGTCGTCAAGGACGAATGCGATGTAGACTTCACTTACAAATCACTCGGAGATTCAACAGAGGCTGAAATACACATTGGAAAAACTATTTCAGATAATTCGTTTAATATAACACTACCCGAAAAAAATTCCATCACCACAAGACTATGACAAATTAAGAGACAGGAGAGTATTAAAAACATAGCTAACGTCTATATGAAATTAGTTAGAATATCAATTGTTCTTACTATTAGTATAACGGATATAACTATATATTTGTATTTTACTTAACCCGTTCTAATTATTGGAAAATGAATTTCATGAGATTGAGTGATTAATTAATAAAAAAAATAATGACACAGTTTTATTGTGAATATACACATACTGTGCGAGCATCAATAAAGGAAATCACGTAGTGTTAACTTTATTGTCTCTGTAATTTATCTCGTATGAAGCACAATACATCAATTACGGATTAACATAAAACGGAATTTTGCGACAGAAAGCCCACTGCACTTCGCGCTTCCACAGAATTTGGCTGGATGGCAAGCAGAGTTTCTATAAAGCTTCTTTACCATTTTTTGATCGAAGAATCGATTATGTACGAGGTTCTCAGTATAAAAATACTTGAGCGTTCTGCAGTGTTTTGGTCAAAGAGAAAATCTGCAGTATGAGTTGGCAGTTGGGCACGAAAAAAATGCTATATTACACGAATGAATGTCAATACAGTATAGCAGGGATCGGCAACCCCTGGCACGCGAGAGGATTTCTCATGGCACGCCAAGCGATTTGAGCCATATTCAAATATTTATTTTCATAGTGCGTCAACATTCTACAATTGAACAAAAAATAACAAATCGAGAAATTTATTGAAAAAACATGCAATATTTAACTGCAATCGACGAGAGGCCGAATTCTGTACCCAAAATCGTGAGCATTCGATCATCCCCTTCCTTTCAAATTTTCGGAAAACTGAAAAAGTCGCAAATACCGCGTGCGATTGCTTTTTGCTGAAATTTCTGATTGTTTTTATCAGCGTGACGTGTTATTTAGGCCGTAAACACTTTTAGTTGGTGTTTATTCTTCCTGAATCACAACAATTATTTCACGACAACGATAATAATTACTTTATTTTTGCCCAGAATTGGGCTGAGAGTTATTATACAATCAATCTAAACTAAATACAATTAGACATTAGGCATGTTTATCTCATATTTTTACATCAAAAGATTGAGTGGTATTTCAGACTAATAATGTTCATATTTTGACGCAAGAAGATGTAACCGCGAGTTACGTTGGCACAAAATAATATCAATATAGAAGAAAGTTTTAGATTCTAGTAGCTGTTATGAAATGAATATTTTACTGAAGAGAAAAATTGGTATACGCTGAAAAACTCGGCCTTTTTAACGAGTGCGTAATCGCTGCGACTGTTTCATAAGGGAATGGAAATTTTCGGTTTTTGAAACCCCCCCCCCCCCCATTCGAAAATTCTGACTGCGCGCCTGGCTGATTTTCATCATTCCACCGTGAGCTACATGTAACTAACAAAAACGATGAAATAAAGGCGCTCCGTAGATGTGCACCAAGATGGCGGACACCGGAACGTAAAATGTGTACCAGGTTTGGGTTAGGGCATAATTTTATTCCAATTTTCCCTATTTCAGTTCTATTACGAGTTTGGGGACTAGCCAAATGACTCCTGTAGTATTTGTACCTGAAATTATGGCCTAACCCTAACCTGGTACACACACTACGTTCCGATGTCCATCATCATGGTGCACATACTACGGGAGTACCAAAATAAATTTTATCTTCTTTAGTATTTATCGCGATTTCATTGTTTCTGGCTACAAAACTAATCGCGAGTGGCCTCAATTAATACCTATTACTTAAGTCGTCCGAAGACAGGTCGGATGTAGAAATGCCATATGCCGAAATCTCTCGTAAGCTTGTTTCCATGCACGTTATCCAATAAAATGAATTTGTTTCTCATCCGCTTACTATTTAAATCAGGCAGTTGGCTATGCAAACCATACACATAAAAATGTTTGGCACGCGAAGGTGCTCATTATTCATAAACTGGCACGCCGAGTTCAAAAGGTTGCCGATCCCTGCAGGATAGGATCCAATGTTCTAGACGAATATGACAACGCAGCTAGATAGCCTTAACACACAAAACCAATTGAACAAATACATCGATGCTTCGTTCCAGTACTAACCTGACAAGTCCATAATTATTCTCCTTTATAAATGACATCAATGAATGCAACAGGCGACGCAGAAACGAGCGACCACTTCGCGAGAGGGGTCACCGCGGGGATTCTGGAAGCGAATTGCTGAAACGGCACTTTCCGATAACAGATTTTAAAGCGTTTAATTAAGATGACTAGGGTTTATTTAATTAATAACATTTTTATATGACACTAACATATTTATAGACTAAAATAATTATAAAATGAGACAAACGAATATTCGTAAAATATTCGTTAGCGTATTTGAATATTCATTGTACAATATATTTAAAAATCAAACACAAACCTTTTATTATGAGGAACTTCCTTTAACAAAACGAAGATGCGGGAGTGATGAAAACTGGGTCGCGTTTGTTTCGTCTCGCTCAGTTCTGTAGTTATCTTCCTTTGAATTCATCCTGCGTTACCCTCTCGAAGTAAGGCGTTACCGTACGTTACCGCGTAGTATGTGCGCAAAAGTTTCTTCAAGGATGGCAATCAGATTTAAGAATCCTTTAATGAGCGGCGACTGTGAGACAGAAAATATATCTGCGAATGTTTGTGGTGAGTACCGTACCGGTATACAGTTATAATTTCTAACGTTGTACCGTATAGATTCAAGATTCTGAAAATAATCATGGCTTTTTACTGTACCGTTGTTAACTTTAACTGTACCCTTCCAATATTACCGTGTGCAGGTAGGCCTCTGGTTGGGTTACAGTACTAAATATTTATTTTGTGTAAAACTTTATGCAGTTATTGCTGCAAGTTGATTCAATTTTTATTCATCCGCTACTTTTTGTCAAAATTTGACTACCATCTCACCATGAAACTGAGCTGGAAGTTGGGTGTGGTGTAAGCCATATCACACTAATGTATTGCATTCAAATTCTATATAAGAAAATAGGTGAATTGATCCATCCTGTTTTGCTTCTTGACACTGTAATACTAAGCTAACAATGTAAAACAATCTGTTATTGGCAAGATGGAAGTAATTCTATCCCAACTTTTATATTTTTGCCCCAGTTAAGATAGGATTATATATGTACAGCTTGAGGGTATAAGTACCGAAGTAGGACATTTACATTAGGACAGTTTGTAAAAATAAGGCAGCATGCTTAACCATATAATCCCATCTCATCAAGTACATGCATCTGAAACAAATAACTGGCTAATCCCATACCCGACATTTGTGAGTATCCTTTCTTTTGATCGATCATCCCCCCAGATTCGAACTTTTTTACATATTTCTGTGGTATTATTTTAATCTAAAAATTTATGTTTATTAAAATTCCAGATGATTTGCCAAAGTTGGATTACAACCAAAACTTGATACAGAAGACTGCAGATAATGAGGATAGCTCAAGTCTAATTTGTAACTGTGACAGGCCTGTCTCTGCAGTTTTCTGTTTGAAATGTGGGCACATATTCACAGGTAATATTAGGACTTTCTTGTACTGTACCAATTAGTTCAAATCTAACAATTTACAAAAGTTCAATAACTTTCTTGGTAGGAAATTGTTATCATTTCGAACACCTATTAATAAACAACGAACCATTATTGTTTTTGGTTTTGCTTTATTCAGACATGAACCCTTATATACTGTGGTGTCTATGGAATACAATCATATGTTGGTATAATGAATTGTGTAAAATTTTGTGTTTTGTTCCTGCTATTTAGCAAATATATACAACTCTTTTTTCAGGTCGCATGAGAAAAATATGTCAGCGTCATCCAAAAGTGATACATCTCATGGATAGCTCACATTGTCCTAGTTGCAGGGGAACTGCATTAAAGGAATATTAATATTATTTAATAATTTCAGCTTTGATTATTTTTTTTTTATCTTTATTTCCACGGTATGGTTCAGATAGTGTGAACTACAGCAAGGCAGAATATTTCTCTTGTTAACCACTGCCACCATCTGAACAATACTTAACTTGCACGTTTTTTGTTTATTTTTCTGCTCATTTCACATGATCATTACCTTTGCTCTCCCTTATTGGGGGCCTACAGCTCTTCCATATCTAACTACTATTTTTTTCAAGGTGATTTATTTCATAATAGGATCATTTGGTCCTCAAACTAGCACCTGCCCGGGGTTATTAAGCTAAAGGGAGCGAGCTACCTCTGATGTGTGGAATTGACCTCCGAAAATATGTTCCTTATTGAATTGTTTCATTACTTATGTGTGTGTGTGTGTGTTCGTTCATTCAAATTCATTGCCCATAGGCATGACATGTCTTGCAACCTTGTTCTTTCTGTAAAGCACAATATTCTTTTTTTTTTCTGTTTAGCACTTTTATTGTAAAAAAATGTAATAAATCGGTTCCATATTTGGTGAGTTGTCACACTTGTTGAGGCTTGGCTGGAACAAACCTAGAAAATAAGTATAATAATTATATTAAATTCAGCAGGACATGCCCAGGCAAAATGTCAGATATGACACGTCCAAAGAAGTACCGGTAATTAATTGTTAATACACCCCAGTTCCCAACCGGAAAATAATTTTGCTTGGTATTTTCTTAGTCATCATGCATGCATGTGTGCCAGGTTAGGGTCGGGCCCTAATTTGACTCCAATTTTTATCATTTTAGCTCTGTTACGAGTTTGGGGACTGTTTGTGTTAGCCAAGTGAAATGAATATATACACCCTGCTCATAGACTTCCATTCCTTTACACAACTCCATGTAAAGTAGGAGCCATGTTGGTACACATGCCTCCGGGAGAGCCTTGTTCACTATTTAATATGTACGAAAGCGTGGGCATAACTAGGCAGGAAACAAACATATTGATAAATAAAGTAGTACCGATGCATGGCGAGTACGGTAATGAGTTTTGAAACAGGCAAAGGGATGAATTTACCGAAAAAGTTTGGGAATAATTGGTTTTGTATATGTCTCCAGTATAACAGGGCTTTATATCTGATCAAGAGATATCAAACGACAAATATCAAATAAAGCTATTCTTTCTAAATTCATATATTCAACAATATTGATTACTGGTCATTTCTCGTAGAGTACTATAGAAACTGCCACCTCATCGAGGAATCACACATTTTCACCAAAATTCGAAAGTCCCAGTACATGCTGTTCTGAGGTATAATAGCTGTTGAGTTGGTTACCTAGCATACCTAGAGTTGGTTAATTGTCAATACTTCTCAGTGGCCTAAAAGTACCCTGTACTGCACTAGTTAACGAACTTTCATAAACACAAATTTCATGGTCTGAATTAAGATTGTTATTTGAACACCAATGTGTTGCAGAATTTAGCAGTGAAATATTTGCCACAAATTATATCAAGCCTTGCTTGCCAATGTACCTGGAATACATGTGGCCCATTCTTGTTATATTAGCATGAAGTATGGAATGAATTGTGACCAGATATGGTTGGATTGGTGCACCTTCCGATTGGAACTGACGTTTTCTTGTGGAATTGTAGACCGGATTTTGAGGCAGTGGGTGTTGCTGGAAAAAGATATTAGTTAAAATGAAAGTTGCCTTAATATTGGTTGAAGATTAGGGACCTCATCATACCTAAATAATAGAAAGCCTGAGTGTTTGCTTGATTGCCTTTTTAAAACGAATATGATAAACATGCGAAAGTAAGGTAACTCTTGTTACTTTTGCGCATAAATTTCGGATCACATCATTTATAAGATTTGCAACACATTTGCTTTTGATTTGAAGATAATTTCTTCTAGACTGAGTCTGCACCAACGAGGTATTAGTGTAAACTCACATTTATGAATTTCCACACGTCTGACATCAAAAGAAATACTTCATAAGGTGACAACATTCCGAATAACTCTCCAATAAAGCAAAGTGGTTCTGGTAGCAGTTGGCCCTAGAAAACGAACAAAGACAACATTCATCATTATAATTAACACAAGCATTGGTGGACAAAATTGACTAAAATACTATAAAATAGCGTTTTCCTGGTTTGTGTTGCGACAGAAGTTGGTGAGCATTGTTGCCAAGTGAATGAGCATTTAAACTCGACCATGATGGCATCGCAGGTTCAAATCCCATGCTCACAACCTCGCCCACAGTATAGAACATTGGGCAAGCAAGGCCAAATCAGAATAGATTAGTCCCCCAGAAATATAAAATTATATCTCAAGCAGATTCTTGTACAAAGAGCATATGAAATTTACAATCAACCTATCGTTGTGGAATTTGAAGACAAGATTTAATATTACGAAATACAAACCTTTTCCAATACTTCAATAACCTTGATTGAGTGCCGAAGATGATATTCCGATGTAGTGGCTCTCTCATCCCGGGATGATTCCCAGTGATTAAGTAATGCACCAGATATTGAACGCAACAGTAGTGAACATCTCCAAAGAGCTTTAGGACTATTTGCGAGTAAATTCAAAATGTTCCAAGCAAATGGATGCTCGTCAAGAAATGTAAAGATATGAAGATCCCTAAAAGAGAAAACCATTGGTCATGACTATATCTCTAGCCCGTCTATACTTGAGGAAAAAACACAAAGCTAAAATGAACGTGGCAGTGCGAATTACAAAAAAAATAAATTTAAATTAACAAACATGATATGAAGCTAAACATGTGTGTTAAGTGAAAACCTAACTAAATTCAGTTTGATTCAATACTAGCTTAACATGATGGTTTATGCCAAAACACTATACCTCACTTTTAACAAACTACTGTCATTCGTTTCGAATTCGTTTGAACAAATTATTCAATGAATTAGCTAATAATTTTTTACAAATTTATTATTTCAAACTCCTAAAAGCAGCCTGGAATTGTTGTCTAGTATTGTTCATTCAGCATATATATAGATTGTTCGCAACATATTCTTTCATTTAAAGAAAAACATTCTTACTTGCTTGAAGGACAAAAAATAATGTCTGTATTTGTGACAAAATGTGAAAAGGCATTCAATTTCTATTTTCGATAATATCGTATTCCCACCTCTCAACTGTATATTTTCTAAAGGTAGAATCAGGCCACGCTGTATCTGCATGAAGAAGAGATCCTGGATAACATGAAGTAACAGCTTCAAGTAGTTTTGAACCTAAAACTACGAGTTTGTCTTCATCAAACATCGCTGGAGTATCATGTATAACTCCTCCCTCAGCAGATCCACTGCTTCCTGTCTTGCAACAACATCGATGCAGAAGAAGAGAAATACATTCATTGTTTGTAACTTGTGCAGACTGGAATAATAAAATGTGCAAATTATTTTCCGAGCGAAACTAAAAAACCAGTGCTAACATCATTTGAACGTCTTTTGAGACTCTGACGCTACATTTTTATTTAAATCTTTGATAGATGTCAAAAACTGCTTGTACTCTCTCAGTTTTACTCTAGTTGCAATAGATCAATGCAGAATTAGTTCATATTCATACAAAAGTTAGGGGTTCCTATATTTATATACAACACCACTACTTCTGAGCTATTCACTCACATTTAGTGAAAAGGGAGCAGAATGTACTGCAATATATTATGTTACAAATAATTATAAGACCAACCTTTGAAAGCGGACAGGACTTTTTCTTCTTTGGTCCACTTCCTATCAGTCCTGCTTCCACAACAACAGGAGTAAAACCAACCACAGATGATGATGCAACTTGTGATCTATGTTGTGATAGCAGAGATACTCTTTGTTCAGAACATAGATGATTTGTTTTTGGAGCACCATCCTCATCTTTTACTTCTTCTGTTCGACGTCCAAATAAAATTGCATTTGCCTGAAAAGTAATTTTTGAATAATTTTCAATAATTGACCAGCTTTCTTTTTGTAAATATTTTATCTGACAGTCTTGGGTATAAGTACATGGGTGACAGTGTAATCATTTGTAGTGAGTGCATATTATTTATATATATCATTTATTTTCAATCCTATCTGGGTTTGTGCACTATTTTAATGGCCAAGTAGTGGGCATGTTGGACTTGTCTGTGCAGAATTAGACAAAAAGAGTTTCGTTCTAATTTAAGAGAAAAACACTTTATAAAAAAGTTTGCGCATTTGCCGTTGTAGGAAACATATTTCACATTAGTTTTGTGAATATTGTACTAAATACACCGGTGATTTTCAACCTTTTTGGTGGAGCGGAACCCTTATCAGACATTCCAGAGGCTCGAAGAAAGCAAACCTAATTCTGGCAAAACAAAATGATCTGAAAGCATAGCGAGTTTAGTAATAGTCGCAAATCTAATAGGTAGTTGATACTATACAAATATATTAAACAATACAGGTCCTCAAATTTAAATGAAATCTTGCGGAACCCTAGGGTGCCGCTGAATCCTGATTGAAAACACAATAAATAACCCACTTGGGTAACAGAGTTTTCCAAGATGAACTGACACACAATGGTGAATGTATCAGGTGACTGAGATAAATGAACAAGTGCTTTTCTACAACTGATCATGGAGGCATCATTGTTGACTCTCCCTGAATCACAATACGAAAAAAATAAAATATGTAGAAACATTGAAAATGTGAAACAAGACATCCAAGAATTCATCAAAATTCTTGATATTATCAGGATATTGACTGGGTTTTCTCCCTCCCATTAAACTGCAAAATCATAAATAATTATCATTTTGAAGAGTCAATAATAAATGCAATTTTGGTCTTTATTCCTAGTTCCTTACAATTGAACAACTTATCACATTGAGACATTGCCTTGAATATTCTTGGAAGTAATTTCAGAAAATTTTGAAGTTGTTTTACAGAAAAAGCATGGTTAAGGGTTATGGCAGACATGGGCAAGGTATGGCCCGCGGGAAAAATCTGGCCCGCCTGATGCTGCCACACCCAAACTGAAATTTGATGGGATTGTGGTTAAATTTAGTTTTGACCACAAGATTTATTGTTTTCCACTGTTGCTTTTGTAACACTGTAAACATTGTTCATAAAATGTAACTGCAAACTTACATGGCCCGCCAGTCTAAGTGCCCACCCTTGGGTCATGGAGTAGAAAATGGCATATATTTGACTATTGTCACATAAGTAATCACCACAAAATTGTAAAGAATTTTTTTAGGTAAAACCTAAACCAAAAACATGTCTGACAATAACACAAAATAACATACCATAATGTAGTAGTCTAAAGAAATAAGATCCTAAGCTCATACACATTGAATAATGAGATATATCAAGAGCAAGAGCCACAGGAGCAGTGAGAAGAATTGCCAATATATCTACTGATATTGATGCCGATTCATTGCAAGGATTGCTGTTTGATATTAGAGTTCGAAGATGTTTAATATGATTCCATAAAGATTTGTGAAGCCTAAAAATAGGTTTAAGTATAAGATTACGTAAAAGTCAATAATATTTGCTTATAAACGTATCAACATTAATTTCCAACTTATGCACTTGGATTGATTACCTTCACCAAATTCAGTAATTAATTATTTTGAACCAGACTCGAGAATTTTGCAATAAGCAATAACAAAAAGAATGCTGGAGTATTACAATATTGTGTGCATGCCTGTGTCCTTGTTTTTAAATCTTGGAGAACTGTATGCTAAATTTCAGTTCTTATAATGCTTGGCTCTTTCATTGTCTCAATTGGAATGCCTTCTTATTTGATAGATACTCGATTAATGGGCCCGGAATCAAAACAGACACAGTCAATATTTTAATCCCACAGTACTTGACATCTTAGTACAACAACTTTACTCACTTATGTTGCAAATCATATGACCCTGGAATATCAACATTCCTAGACAATAATCTCCACAAGTTTGTCATCATATTCTTAATCTGTTTTCTTGTTAGTCTACCATCAGATATCATTGAAAAACTGAATTCCAATATTTGCTCCAGAAGTCCTTAAAAAATAAATTATTTCAGAATTAGAAAAACCACTTATGGCTTTATAAACTCATTCAATTCATGTCACTATTCGCACCACAATCATGCAAAAACATCAAGTTTTTGTGTGTCATAAATTTACCTATATGGAAGTCAGAGAAATTAGTATTTATTACCTGGAATTACACCGCTGATGAAAGAATATAAATTCAGAAATACAGCAATATCGCACTGTCCTGATATCTCGCATAATAATCTACAAAATACAGAACAACAACAACCACGGATTGAGATTATCTTCAGAAGAGTTAGAATCCAGTTTCGTCTGAAAACATAATGTAACATATAAAAAACTAATGGAAAAACATTGAAAAATGTGAGCACAAGTGATCTTTAAGACTATCCACTGAAAAAAATCAAAAAGAAAAAAAATGGATTTGAGTTCCATCTGTCAAAATCACCAAAATTGTAATTTTTTTGTACATCAACCAAATAAACCCACCTTTCAGCAAGTTTAGTTTTCAATATTTCATCACATAACTTGGAATAGTTTGTTTTCAATTCAGCAACAACACCGTTTTCTTTCTCTCCAACAACACGTTTTCTCATTGCAATTTTTAGAAGATCTTGCAGAAGTGACGTCTATAAAAAATGGAAAACCAAAATTACCGAAATACAATGGAAAGTAGCCATAAAATGCTATTTGAGTGTCAAAAACATGCAGACATCATAATGTAATCTCGAGTGCTTAACCAGAAGCCACATGAAAAAAAAATTTGGGGAGAATATGAAGACATATAATTTTGATTTTTAAACATCTTGGGATCCGAACTGCTGGAAAAGCAGCTCAGAAAGTATCTTAATCTTCGAAATTTTAGTATCAGCCCATTTGAAGATGAATTGTAGAAATTCCATCTAAGGCTTTTCTCTAGTCATTCAGTAAAACACAAACAGTAATATCATTAGTCTATATCTATTCCAACCTCAAACAACTTAACTATTTGTATTCAAACAAAGAAACAGGCAGAAAGTTTTAGCACTCACCATCAACTGACAAAAAATATCGCGCAATGCTTTATCAAGAGGCTTTGATTGTCTGGAATTTGAATTTGAATCAGAAGCTTTCAAAAGAAATTGGATTAATCGAAATGATTCGACAGATGATTGACATATAAGATGAACAGCAAGACTTGAAACCCTGTGAAAATATACAAAAATTACAACAGATAAATATGAAATTATCTTCATTAAACCAAATACAATAAGTTGGGCGAAACAAATGGTAAGCAATAATAACAATTACTAATTAACAACAAATTAGAAAGACAAAATGGGTGATCATTTGGGTGGGAAAATAGGAATAGTAACGGTGTGCAAGACTTTCCCAAGGCCTTTAGTTCCCTCTTCACTTTTTTGTTATTTTCTTCTAGTACTACCGTAAGTAAGCATAAAAAAGATAAATAACTGAAATGTGATAAAAATTAAGAATATGGATATTAATCTTTAAATATAGTCAAGAAGATTGGAATGGTTGCATAGACAAATATAGCCAAGGTGATTGGAATGGTTGCATAGACAAATATCATGCATTTTAGGGAAATTGCATCCTATCAAATCCATTAATTATCAATTTTTCTAAAATAAAAGATATCCCATTCAGCTATAACTCTGGACTGAAAAATTGATACTTACGCATTCAATTTAGTCTCATAATTGGGTAACTTGCAAAACTGAGTGTGAAGAGTGTTTAGATTTGCATCATCCACTGAAAATAAGGAAGCAGTTGAATAGAAATAATATTCCATGAAAGTTGGTGTACAAACTACCAATAATTGAGACGACAAAATACAGGTGTGGTGGCTTCATGTCAACTGTGCACTACATTGAGATAAGTTCAATGGAATAAATCAATAAAAAAAGGCTGTGGAAAACCGCTCCATGTTCTCAAAGTAGTAACATAACTGACGATAGTATCCAGTGCACATTTTTGAACCAAAGACACATGAACTTTGATTAATAAAAACACTTACAGACATCTATGAAAGGTTTTGTTGATACTCTTATCAGTAATGGAGAATCAGATAACAACTGCATAATATACAGAATCGCTTTTATTTGTCCGGTACCATCATTTGTCGAGGGAGTCTGGTAAATGAAATATGACATTGTTTACACAATAAAATTGCTTGTTGCATTAGTCAAACTGAAATTCAAGATTGCAGTGAAACATAGAATGAGACCATGGAGAGAGAAATTCAATTAAAAATGAATTTTCATGTGTATTTCACCTCCAAGTAAGTGTATGCACGCTCACCAACGAGATATAATATATGGAGTATTTCATGATGTATTATTGTAAAATCAATTAGGATGAAATGGTGTAGGACAAATATGTTAGATGCAATACCTGGTACAGACCGATCATTGCTTTTTGCACTCTATCACTGTGTCTACTTGATAAATGTTCCAATATCCGAACAACTGATTTCATTTTAGATTGATCTTCATCCATCTGTTGCTGACCTGAATGATATATTTCAAAAAAGAAAAAGAAAAAAATAATATGGATGAAACTGTAATTCAGCCAGGACACACAGACAGCACATATAAAATTGCTCGAATACTTTATGATGATATCCAAATATTTCATTTATAATATATCACCTTATCGTCTGCATGCAGTGCCTATTTACGATAGTTGGATAAATTGCATACAGCCTATTATAGAATGACTTGGTTACTCAAAACATTTTCAACATGCTTCTCATTCTGAGGTTTCAAATAACCATGTAATCTATGTTTTAGAATGCCATAAAGATGATCAATTTTATGTGCAATTTACTGATGTGATACTGACCCCATTGCTGTGCTACAAAATCTTTAAATCCAGTTCGTAAAACTCTGTTAATAATTTCTGATGGAAACGAATTTCCAATATCAGCAACAACCCAGTCAAAATTTGGAGCATGATGAGCAGAAGTAATAAGAAGTGAATCCATGCAAGTCTCAGTGCCTTGATCAATTCTGAAAACCAAAATATTGAGTGGTAATTTAACCAAAAAAATAGAAAAACCTGAAGAGAAACCTATAAAAGAACTCCAAACTATCAAAATATAAGCTTTGATAAGCAAAAAAATAGCCAGTTCAAAGTTCAATACTATACAAAACAAAAAACTTATTCTTTATTTCTTTCCACTTACAATGTTTTTAAACAATATCTGTATAAATTCATGAGCATTCTTGTAGGGAATGATTGTGTCCAGAATTTCATATGTTCATTCAGTTGATTGTTAGAATGACCAGAAGATGACGCAATAGAAGTTCCTTTCTTGAAACAACTACTTATTTGACCTGAAATAAAATAACAGGTTATATGAAAAAATAGAAGGCCGTAGAAGATGAATTAAGAAGTAAAAAGACAATTGCATACCATCAGAAACTATATGGTGGGAATACAAAATCATTATCCAAAGAATATTCAGCTAGAAAGATGAAACGAGCCCAACAATCTCTTAAACAATAGGGTCTACAGTCTTGTCTACATAGTCTTGATTTCAAATGACCACAGATTGAGAAATTTAGATTTTCTTTAGATAAAAAATAACCTGTTCAATACCATTGTACCTGTATAGGTATGATTAAAATATAAATTTGACTATACCTAGCGACTCTATTGACCATTCGCATAAAATAGGTGCCCAAGCTCTTCCGTTCTTTTCCAACAATTCATTCAATGTACGAGCAACGATTTGAATGCTGGTGTTCAATTCATGACTCAATCCATACACTAAAAAAGTTAAATTTTTTAATAGATAAAAAAATAATATATATATCGTCAAATAAAATTTTTTGTTTTATAACATGAAATTTGATCTCACAATTAACTAGGATATAAAATATAATATTCAAGATGAGATTCCAAATGTACCCACAAAGTTATTTCACCAACTCAGCGGTGTGGCGCATCATTCTAAACATTAAGAAAACGCTTTTCACTGCAGGTTCAAATCCTGTGTAGGATAATTATGTGCCAGAGGGTTGCTGGACTCCTCACTTCCGTCGGGTGGTTCGTTCATGCAACTGCTGGTCAGTAACGGCCATGCATCCAAGTCCATGCATCTGAAAATAAATAACTGGCAAACTAACCCCATACCCGACATGGGCTGATAAACGGACGAGAGGCCGTGGTATGCCATATGAGTGAGCCGTCTGATCTCTTTCTTCTCGCATAGATAAATATGAAAATCCTTTTCTATTTAATTAAGAAAATCTCAGAAAATATTTATTCTGAATATAGCTGTTCTAATTTTTTGAAGATGTTGCAACTTTTCACATTTTGTTGCACATTTTTAAAATAACAGAAATACTTACTTGATCCAGAATAATCCATATTGCGTTGATCCATACAATTTCTGGTCGCTTCTTCAAACAGTTGTGTGAATCTCTGTAGAACGGCATATCGAGCAGCTGGAACTCTTCTTAATAGAGCAATGGAATTGTTGACACGTTCTGCATTGAACCCACCAGATGCATGACCGGATGCAATAAACCAACTCACTATTTGCTTAGTACTGAGCTGAAAATTTATGTACATTTTTGAAAATTGATATTGAGGTATTTAACATAATCTATGTACACCCTGTTCAATTATATGAAAAATATAAATTATTTTTCTATTTTGAACTTATTATTTGAAAGTGATTTTTTTTGGATCTAACGTTAGGTTGAATGCTAACTTTATAACTTTATTATTCATTAGAATCGATTTAAAATGAAATATCATAATACTAAATAATCACAAGTGAAAAGTACTGGTATAGTTGCGAAAATTACTCCCGAAATTGAAACCTTCAACATTTTTGACTAGATAAGAAAATTTTATGTACAATATTGCAATAAAAAATAGTTCCCTCAACAAAAGATATCATTTGAATAATATTTTGAAGTTAATGTGTATTACCGGTATGTATATTGGGTACCGGTACCGTATGTATTTTCTATGGAAATGCTGTATCTAAATTACCATATTATTATTTATTTATTATGACTGTTTTTTTTCTGGTTGACGAAATAAATCTCTCTCTCTCTCCATATATTCCTGGTATAAAAATTATGCGACCCCTTACCTTCGATAGTTGATCTTCTTTGTCTTTCACCATAATTGATGCGTGATGGAGAGACTGCACAATATACCAAGTGAATCTTATGCTGGTAGGGTGAACAACTATTAAAAAACAGTAAAATTACATTTGTAGCAGATAACGCACATACATATTACATAAGTAACGTATGTGACATGCAAAACATGCCAGTGGCGTGGCGTCCAATCCTTTTTTTTCTATGATGCACGGCGCTAGCTGATACAATCTTTTTTTTCTCATTGTTTCCTATCAAGTTCCAATATAAAATTCATAAAATGTTTAATAAACGAAAAATAACGCAGGATAGTAACAGATTAACAACAATTTAGAGTTGCGGACATTAAGATGTTCACGTCTGTTCTGTCACGTGTGGCACTACAGAGCCAAAGTGAATCTGATTACATTGGCGAAACGCAGTCACGTCGTGCAGTCGCAGATAGATTGGAATGGGAAGCGATAACTGGATAAGGCTATTTTCATTTTTATATTTCAGCCTAGTAGGCTACCGTATCATAAAGTTATTTAGAAAGTCCTATGAGTTGAAGGTGTGTGTTGTCTTGTGATTAGTTACACCCATAGACTATTGATTAGAAGATAGATTATTAATTAGAAGTTGGCACAATTAGCTTGGAAAGAACAAGTACTATAAAATATTTGGGAATAGTTCTGGATGAAAAACTTAATTGGAAAAGTCACATAGATTACCTTTCAAAAAAACTTTCTCAATCACTTGGAATGCTTTATAAATTAAGGAGATTTGTAAATCTTGAAACCCTTAAAATAGTTTATAATAGCCTGGCCTTTTCACATCTTCGATATGGTATATTATGTTGGGGTAACGCGACAAAAACTGCTTTAAGACCCCTTGCTGTTTTACAAAACAAGATGATTAGATGTATGATGTACCGAGAGTCATCTAGACAAATACGTATAAATAATGCAAAACTGTATCATCATTGTGAATTTCTTCAATTGAAAGAACTCTACATAAGTGAAGTGGGAAAATTTATGTATCGTTATGAAAATGTGCTGCTGCCAGAGTATTTTCAAAACTTTTTTGTCAAAATTTCAAATATCCATCCGTATGAGACCAGGAGTACATCAAATAAATTGTATTTCACCCCGCGATATCAATCTTCATGCATGAAGAAATCGCTCAAGCTGGAAGGTATTAATGTATGGCAAAGTATTCCACAGAGTATGAAACAGTGTTCCCCACAATTATTTGATCGCAAACTAAAACAACATTTATTAGCGGATTATAATGTGATGCAGTGACGTTCAAATCTCAGTGTATGCTATCAGATTCATAAAATGGATAGGAAATCACCATTTTATAGATGTATGTCTCTGTGAAAATTATTGAAGATACTATTATATACAGTCTGAAGTGTTCATATGTACTATATGTCTATATAGCTTTGGAAATATGGTATTTTAAATTTTTCACCCATTCATAGAAACTGCCTCATTTCCTCATTTTCACTATTTGATTTTTGTCGAACATAAAGTAAAATTAAACTTGAGGAAATTATAATTAGGCTTACGCCCTTCTTAATTTTTCACTTCTTTTCGCATTTTATTTACTATTAAAAAAAAGTATAACCTGCATAATCATGCGATGTTCTTTTTTCTTGTAATTTTCAATCTTTGATTGATACCACCCTATTTGCAAATTAAAACAGCATTTCAGCGGATCATAATATGATGCAATATCATGCAAATCTCAGTGTATGCTATCAGATTTATAAAATGGATAGAAATTCACAATCTTATATATGGATTCTTCATATGTCTTTGTGAAAATTATTGAAGATACTATTATATATAGTCTGAAGTAATAATTATATGTACTATATAGCTTGGGAAGTATGGTATTTTTAATTTTTCACCTATTCATAGAAATTGCCTCATTCTCACGATTTGATTCTTGTTTAACATAAAGTATAATTAATTGTAATTAGCCCGACGCCCTTCTTATTCTTTCTCGCATTTATAATTACTATTAAAAACATGATCTGCGTAATCATGTGATGTTCTTGTTCCTTGTAATTTTTATTTCTATTCCAATACTTTCGGGGAATTGATTTCTGGGGCCTCTTAACCGGGCTTAAAACTCAAAAATTTATATTTCTTCTATTGTAATTATGATGCCTGCTTTAGAGTGTCCTGTCTTGGTAGAATCTTACCTTAGGGGTCGGTCGACCTTGTTGACCTTGGAAGTCTTGCCCGTCCCCTTCCGTATACATTTTTATGCTTATTGTTATTTGCTCATGCTTATTGTATTATGTACTTGTATCGGAAATAAATCATTATCTATCTATCTATCTATTGTGGATGGAGTTTGATTGTAAATGTAACCTTAAAACAGTAAAATCAATTCAGAAATTACGAATTAAACTGTCAATATCTACTGATCTTGTGATTTAGGCTTGGAATATAAATACGGTACCGTACCTACGGCACCGGTATTGCAAAGTTTGTATAGGTAGACTATACGTGTGAAGTCTACGATTGTACCTTTACTGCTTTATGACAAAGGTTGATACAGTAATAGGGTGGCTTACCCACTTTGCGGCTACGACCTATTTGCGACCATCAACTTCATCGATTAAATTATTGCCCAAAAAATTAACAAACCGCGACGATATTTCTCAGGCGTTATCGTCCAGTTATCCCTCGTAGCTCTGCGAAATCACACTAAAATGCGGCTCAAACAAAAAAGTTACGACCGAAAACCCGACCGAAGAAAAAAAACGGACCATTTTTCCATGTCGCCAACTACCCATTGTCCCTTTGAAAAAGCTTGAAAATCCATACAAATATAAGAGATAAAAAGATGAAACTTGGCAGGTGGGTAGAGTTGTGTTTCATTTAACCATCTTTAAAGTTTCGCGTTTCTACATTTAAAGGAGTGGGAATAGGGGGGTGCGCATTTCCAATACGCCGATAATATCTTTGTCGACCAATTTGCGACCACAGTGTTTTTGTCTGTTTGATTGATGTGATATGGTGCTTCGTTTATAATTTGACGAGTTTTGTTTGAAATAACCGTGTTCTTAAAATATATGACGGTCAGAAATGCAATTAGAAGCCAATTTTTTTCACGCATGGCTGCGTATGCCCTAGTCTCGACGCAGCAGAAACGCTGTTCAAGGCTTGAAATCCGTGGTCGCACACTGGTCGTTCGGTTGCAAATACGTGCTCAGAGTGTCATACTTTGGTGGTTTGTATAGCTTTAACCCCTGGTTGTAGAAAGTTAATTCGAGGTTTAGCGTGTAGAATAAATGCCAATGCACCTACGGTGAAAAAATTAATGGGTTAGAAATATTGATTTTTGTTTTATAGCAGTTTGAATGAAATCGTCCACAGACTGGCTACACCACTCTATGGTCTTGTGTACCGGTACCCGGTAACGGTAGACTATCGTACCGTACTTCTAGCGAGCGTAGTCTAACAAATTTTGCCATTCCTGACTGTTTACATACACTATTTAACTATGTTATGTAGAAATTGATTCAGACATATTGGATGACTTAACGTTACTTCAGTCTGTCAATAGGTGCTTGTACTTCAAAGGCGTCTTCAAAGTTTTTATATTTTTATCAATACTTTTTCATACTTTTATTTGCTTTGTTTACCATTCATTCTGTTATTTCTCTATTTGGAGCTTCATCATATTTTTTGGCTATATACTATACATATCAAATCTTATAATAGTCAACACAGTTTGCAGCATCCTCAGTTGTACTTACACACAAATCAGTCAAAATGAGTTCGAACACAGGAATTGAAGCGGAAATGGCTCGTTTTGAGGAGGAAGTACTCGGTAATGATGGACCAGATAGTAATGTTCCAGACATTCCACCTCCACCATTTATGCAATCAATGGATCCTCCTATGCCACCCCAATTCAATAGAAGTGACAATTTCAATGACCAGCCCTATTTCAACAATGGACCTGATAAAGGCCCATTCAATGACATTCCTATGAGTGGACCTGGACCGATGCGAGGACCGGGTCCAATGCCTGGTCACCATTCAAGAATGATGGGTCCTAGACCGATGCCAAGAATGGGACCTGGCCACATGATGCCAGGGCCTATGCCTATACCAATGCACGGACCAGGGCCAATGCATGGACCAGGGCCAATGCATGGGCCAGGACCAATGTTTGAACCAGGGCCAATGCATGGGCCAGGGCCAATGAGTGGCCCAAGGCCAATGCCCATGATTGGTCCTGGGATTCCACCAGGAATGAGGTCTATTGGGCCTGAAATGTCGAGTCCCCCAGTCATTACTGCCCAGCCAAAGGTATATGCCGCCCCAGCTATTATTATGAAACCACCACAAGTTGCTAAACGGAAAAGAAAACATGAATCAAGTGAAACCACTTCTAAGGAGAAAAATATAGAAACTAAGGCTTCAGTGCCTGAAGAACCTAAAGTGGTATAAATTTCTATATATTTTTAGTATAATCTCAGTTTTAAATTTTTAGTACTGATATTTTCATGCCTGTTTATGGCACATATTGATAAATTGCATTTTTTTTTGATAATTTCTACCTTTGAATGTACCCTCTTCAATAATTTCACATTTACTGGCTAGAGCAGGGGTCGGCAACCTTTTGTCGCTCGCGAGCCAAAATTAAGGGTTGCAAGTCATTGGCGGGCCGCATATATTTTTAGAAAGTTGAAAACCGAACCAATGATACTTTTTATAATAAAAATTAAGCGGTGATACCTCTCTCGAATGGAATATAGATTTATTTACTCATTGCATTGCATCTCAAAAAATCCCATTTGAATATATTCGGCGCCATTGAACCCTTCGCACTTAACATCAACTTTGTTGCCACTTATCCAATTCTAATTAGATTATAGGCCCGTTAAACGAGTAATTGTGAATTTTATGCTTGTTAGGTTATAGTATAATTTAGTCTACACGTGTCTCACAATAGGTTCGGTTAGAGTAAAAGAATAAAATCGCCAAAACGGCTGTTTTGTTACTATGATTCAGTGAAGCAATGCGGCCCGCGGGTCGTATTATATTACTCCGACCCGCGGGCCGTAGATTGCCAACCTCTGGGCTAGAGGTTGTTCGCGAGATAAAAGTCTGATCAATGCGGATTGTCAAGTCATTTCTCTGACTCATTCCTTTCGCCTCTTATTAATGATATTTGGCCGTGAGAAGCCAAAAGCTATACTACTAGATTATATTTAAATTTTTGAAGATGTTCAGAGTTTTCTTGAAGAAAAACACCAATGTAACAGTCAAATAATACTATTCATGAATATTGCAGATCCCTCCTCCTGTTCAAACTATGCCTGTTATGTCGGAGCCAAAACCTGGTCCTAGTAATTTCGGATTTCCAAGAATGCAAAACCCTACTTCAGGGCCCATTCCTGCACCACCAATGCCATTCAGTCAAGCAACCGCAGCATCAGGATATGATGGTATGGATTTGATTTTATCAGTATTTAGCTTTGTGGCATTCTGCATTATTTCAACTTTGAATTTCTCAGCGTATAGATTGAGTGCCACAAATGTATAATGTGTCGTCATGTTACTGTAAGGATAGGGACAGAATTAAAGTTCCCGAATCTTGTTGCAATTGTATGATGATTACAAGTTTTTGTATGTGTATATCATCGAAGTTGAAAGCCACATTATTTTTTAGCGATGGCAAAGGTACAAAAGAAAAAAAAGTTTATAAGAACAGCAGCTGGGCAATCCTGGGAAGATGCAACATTACAAGAATGGGATCCAAATGATTACAGGTACTCTCAATTTTTTACCTTTTCATTTAAGCAATGTTTTTGCAAGTTTAAACAAAAGATTACTTGTGTTTACATGCTGAAAAAAAAACAGAAGATCTGATTTTGTCACACAATTGTAAAATGATCTTTCAGACAGTAGGTTTATGAGGTATGACTGGTATATAACTGATTATAGTTTAAATAAATATCGTGATAGATTCATATTGCGATGGCTGTTGTGAAAGAATTATATAAGTTGATTAATTATAGTATTCTTATTATTTTCAGATTATTCTGTGGAGATTTAGGCAATGAAGTAACAGATGACGTTTTAATGAGAGTTTTTAATAAATATTCATCTTTTCAAAAAGCTAAAGTAGTTCGAGAAAGGAATTCAAAGAAATCAAAGGGGTGGGTACTAATTTATTCAAATGTATCTGGTCACTGTTTAAAAAACATCAAAATGCTTTTATATTACTTCTGCAAATTTCATTTAATTCAGATATGGTTTTGTCAGTTTCAAAGATCCAAATGATTTCATTCGTGCTATGAGAGAAATGAACGGTAAATATGTTGGCAACAGACCAATAAAATTAAGAAAAAGTAACTGGAAAGACAGAAATATAGAAGTTGTTCGGAAAAAACTAAAAGAAAAGAAGAAACTTGGATACAAAGTTTGAAAGCAAGAGATTGAATTGCGATCAATTCTTGTCTGTAGCATGAGGCCGTCAGCACTGGAACACAATGAAGGAGCCCTTGGGATTGAGATAACAGTGTTTATTAGCCTAAGGGCTTTATATTTATTTTCCCGGTCTTGTCAAATCATCTAGGTTTCGTCTTGTATTTGTATTTTGCGAATAAATAGACTTTTCGAAACAGATTCTTGGTGGGGATTACGAGTATGACATGAAGGTTTTTATACAGTTTGACCTAAATGTGGTGATCTTTTTAGGGATGGGACGAGTCCGGCAGTACAGAGATTCGGCAAATCCGAGTAATAGGTCAAGGACTCTAATCGAATCCCCGAGTCTGTTACGTCACAATGTAAAAAGTAGAAAAACATGTTTTTAACCATACTACAGCATCGCGCGCTCACAAACATACGTCTTAGCTCATATTTTTTCTTAATGGTTCCGCAGATAGCTGTTGAATCAATTTAAAATATTTTTTTTTTTGGCGGCCATAATACAAACGTAAACGTGGGTCAATGTGCGCCTTGGCTGTGAACTGGATTTCCAGCCCACCACCTTGCGTCAATTCTGGGCGGCTATTTAGAAATTCTTACATGTCAATATGAAAAATAAAAAGCTTTTGACTACGATGCTTATATTTCTAGCCGTAAATTTACTATGTCCCGTTCGCAAATGGTAGAAAAATGCCACTCGTCGTCAATACAAGTGGTATCTGCTACAATCTGCTTGCAATTTAGTAGTTCATGTAAACGTTCTAAAACTATCCATGCTTTCCATTGCTCCCTTTTTAGAGGAAGGATTGCGCGTAATAAACTCTATCAAAAATAGGTATTGATGAGATTCCCCCTTGGGTTGATCCTGCGCATGTTCATATTTAATTACGCAAATCAAAAACATTGCGCTAACACATATTTTATTGTGTACCACATGTATACCACAAAGGATAGATTATTTGAAGGCGACTGGTGCATCATTGTTATAAGCCATCGATAGTTTTTACCTTGCGTTAGATTATCTGGATATCTGTCGTCGTTTTTATTAGGAGTGTTTATAATACACACGAGTGATATTGTTACATATCTAACCTTGAATTTCAACTAGTTAAGGTATGTAGTGAAATTTATAGGGGAAAAGTACAAACATAGGCGTGAATTAGTAAAAACAGAATTGATTATAGACTCGGTAAAAACGACGTAGACTCAAAATTGAATCAGAGTCCAAAAATTGCCTAGATTCGAGTCCGGATCAAAATTCCGGCCCATCCCTAGATCTTATTAAATTTTGCATACAAAGTCCATGTGAAACTGTTCTCATACAGCACCTCCTATGTCTTTCGTTCAACAAAGTGAAACAAATATATACAATAATACAAGTTTGACAAACATTTATTGTAAATTAGGTGATAAATCTTCCCTTAGGCTTTAGTTCATCATGACTGCAGTTCTGCCACCGGCCCTGAATTTTATTATACAGCAATTATTGTGTGACAAGGATGTATGCTAGAAAAAGTTTGTAGAGTGGTGGTTCCAAAACCTTTCAGGTGACCCAAATTTTTTAGAACCTTGTGGGTACCCTTTAGCATACCATTTAGGGTAGGCTCAGTGCTTTTACGGATGCAAAATTGAATGACTTGTTTGCAATCGTGACGTTGGTTCAGTTAAGAAAAATAGATGCTAAAATTTGTGACCCAAGTATATGTTCACATACTAAACAGCATATAGTGCTTTTGTGGGTGCAAATTAAATGACTATTTTGTAATCATGGCGTGAGCAAAATAGATGCTACCAAGTGTTCATGATGTGATACGTTTCTCATATGTACGGTAATTACTATTGAGCAACACTTTACACCAAATATATAAAAAATAAAAAAATCGGTTCAAGTTTAAGCGACCCATAGCTTGGGAGACGTTGTTGTATAATGGCAGATTAGTACCATAGCCATACGTACAAGATCTCTCGAGAACTCGCATGTTTTTGATTTAGCGAGTCTGCTTTTGAGAAAGAATGCCACTAAACTTGGCTTTTAGTAGATGCCGCACATAATCAAGTTTTACTCACTACAAATGATTAGTTAAGATAAGTTGGCTTACCACCAAAAGGCTCTCTTTGCACAGGTGTTGGTTTACGGGATGTTTCCCTTTTCAAAACTCTGTTGTATACATAGGGAGCAAACGGTTTTCTGTTCAGATGAAAGTCATAACAATTAGACGTCAATGTCTAATCCTAATTGGCGGCATATTGCGGGTGAAAACCATAACTTTAGAACTGATGTTATGGTATTTCGAAAACTAGCAATTACTTTAAGTGGCAGAAAACGCAATTAAAAAATTTGCGCATATCTGCTCTTATATTAAAAATCTAGGACAAGCAGACAGAGTGTAAAAGTCATCTTTGAAAACAGCCTTGGATTGATCTGATTTAAGTAAAATTTAAACTGAACCAATTTTTTCTCATCATTCTTCCGTGAAAGTGATCCCTGATATGACTACATTTTTGCACATGATGAGTGAATCTTTTTCTGAAAATACATTACCTTGGAATAAATTTGCCATGACCAGGTGTGACATTAAATTTTCCATTTTGATAAACCACTTTGCCTCTACTTATTGTGCATACTGTAACTCCATGGCAAACCATTCCTTCAAATATGTTGAAATCTACGGCTTGATGATGTGTCTTGGCAGTTATTGTCCTGTGAATAATTTTTTTTATTACTCTAGACGAGGGGTGTCAAACTCGCGGGCGGCATGCGGCCCCAGAGAACTTCCAATGCGGCCCTCGAACGCTTTACAATAATTGTAATATTTTTTAGTTGTTTTTATCCAAATGTAATGCATTTTTTTAAACCTTTCACAGTGAAATTGATCATTCACACAGAAAACGACAATCTACTGAAAGTAGTTTTGGAAAATTAAATTTTCATTTTGTTTTCAATTTGACCCAATTATGGATACGCCTCAAGCTAGCAAAAGAATACAAAAAAAAAACTTCAGGCATTATCGAGTCAAAAGCACATTGTTCGATTTGTCACATTTCCATCAATTACCAGAATAAGCTTAGAAGTCAATATGACAAATTTAAAGATCAACTTTGAACAGAAAATTTTATGTGTTTGTATATTATTACCTAGCTACTAGAAAATCAATATCAATCATAACTCAAGCAGTCCTATGCCACGTAAATGTCTGGTCCAAAAAGTCGTTATTTGTTTGTTTACTGATCTATACATGCGATGATAAACGTAATATTTTGCATTACTGAAATTAATCACACATTCTCAACGATCCCAATTGAATGATGATCATGTAACCTCGTTAATTAGAGTTGGTGCTGTAAAATCATTTCAGCCTGATATTAGTAAGCTGGTGGCACAAAAGAGATGCCAAACGTCAGGACATATGTAAATTTAAGGTCTATATATTTAGATTAAGTCATTTTTCAATGTATGTATTATTCTTTCCTTATCGAAACTTTGTTCAAAATGTATACATAAAAATTTATGATTTTTTGTAATAAATACATTAAATTGCAATAATAAATATGTAAATGGCATTTGAAATTTGGGAAAATAACAAAACTTCATTCGGCTGTTTGATTGCATCACAATATATGCCACAAACTAGACCTATCTAAAAAATATGCTTCAAGTACACATTAGCAAAATATATTAAAAACTGTTTGCCGCCCTTTCCACAATTCTCAAAATGCAATGCGGCCCTCGAGAACCCACGTGTTTGACACCCCTCCTTTAGACCATTATAGTTCATATCAAACAAATGAATGAATAAATAAAAATAACACAGTAAATATAAATATCACAGTCAAGACCAGCAAAATTGCAGCTGAAAAAATGTTGACTACAGGCCCATGACAAAACCACAAAATACATCCACAGTAGATGTAGAGATGCAATGTAATCGAAATGTCAAAAAAATTGAGAGGGATATCATATGAGGCATGCACGCATGTAATATCACAATGTTCCCAATAATGGAAAAAAAACATCAAAATTCTCAATATAATATCGGCTCGGTGGGCTCTAAAGAAGGATCCATTCCATCATAGGCCCACTTTATGAAATGAACAATCTACAATGGAAATTGCAACTCAAAATGTGAATGCACATTAGCTTGTTATGCCAACGCTAATATGATCTATAGATCTGATATTAATAACTGCACTGCAAACATGGTGCATTCTATGATTACTGACCTTGTTGCTTCAGGATCCCAAATAACAATATCAGCATCTGATCCTACCGCGATAATTCCTTTCCTGGGATAAAGATTGAAAACCTTTGCTGCATTTGTACTTGTTACAGCAACAAAGCGATTCTCATCCATCCACCCCGATGCAACACCTTTCTAATTGAAAAAATAGATTCTTGAAATTAACGTAGCTGATAAGACGAATCTGCATGAACAAAATCTAACAAATGATTCTGACATCTGAAGATTGAAATCTTTTAGTATGTTTGACAGGTTTTACTCAGTACACAAAATAACAAACATATTACAGTAATTTATATGGTAAGTTATTATAAACAAGTACAATCTTCAGTAGTGTAATTGCCGTTGTGCTTACAGGCGACACTTTTTAATCGTAAACTCAGATAAATGGTCGAGTTTAAAGAACATTATAGGAATTTACACAAATGACATCAATACAGTCCTAAGTTACCTCCCAGAAAACAGACATTCTGTCCTCAACTCCATTGACACCATTTGGTATTTTTGAAAAATCGTCTTTTCCGGCAGCTTTTTCAGCACCATTGTGACTTGTATTATCAGATCCTGTGCATTCTAAGTCACCACTAAAAGAATGAAACCATAAGAATACGCTTTAATATCTTATAATAAGGTTTTATCTGTTTCAATAAATAAATTTATAACATCATTGATGGCTTGTCATGATATATGAATTTTAAGCAGAGGTTGTGCATGAGCTTCATTCACTATTTAATAAAACGAGATCTTTATGGTAAAATTGAAAGCAACCTTTCAGATTTATCCATTCTGTGATGAGCGCTCTAAAATTAAGAATATAAGGATGAAATGTGAGCATGATTGTTTTAAGTTTTGTATCGGCAATTCAAATGGAGTACTAAGGACAATGGTCAGTTTCAGTGTCACAAACACAAGAAATGATTGTCTTTGGAAATCCTATTATGACAGATTAAATCTAGTGTCTTTCGGGGTGCAGTGCATCATGTATATTTCAAATTTCTACTGTATGACTCATTTTTCCCATCTCTAAACAAATGAATCAACATTTACCTATAGATTTACAGATTAACAACTTTTAAACTTGGCCTATGCCTCCTAATCATTTATGGAATTAGCTGAGGATATTATTAAATATTGCACCATTTTTTCATGCTGGATATGCCTATGGCCATTTCACACCTATTATTAGGTATTACTAAATGAAATACTTGGCAAGCAATTTGATGAGATGTTCAGGTGTCACGCCATGATCATATCTATTGGGTGGCCCAACTATATGTCCTGCAGCGTGACGCCAACATTTGTGCCAACATCTCTCTGTATCATTTGTGAATGATGCTGATATTGGCTCACCAAATACCACCTTTCCTGTGAATATATCAAAAGAAAAAGTCGATCAGTCACCTTCTATTACCATTAGAGCTATGCACTTTGAATCATTTCATGGATCTGTTATGTCTTTTATGCGCATGATCACAATTTATGATTTGATTTTGTAATTTTCGTTCAACATTATTCTTGTAAGCCTGTCATTCAGTAGCTCATAACAAGCGCAATATCATTTGATATATTATTATTCAATATCTGTGTATGAGATAGTATAGGATTTACATATTTATCTTGAGGAGAGGAAAGCCGCTAAAAGGTTTAATCATGTGGCGAACTCAGCCTCTCGTTACCACTTTATGTCAGGTGTGGGATTAGCCAGTCATTTGTTTCAGATGCATGAACTTGATGGTGGAGGAAGCAATAACCGATCAGTGGTTACGTAGACCACCCTGCGGCAGGGGAAGTCCAGCAATCTTCTCGCACATAGGATTCAAACCTTCAAACCCATGCAGGGTAATCAGAGGTGTGGTTGTCTAACGCTTAGCATGATGCGCCACATTGCAGAGCAAAAAACTATATAAATATAATATTATTTACTGAAAAATTGGTTGCACCTGATGCAGGTATTCAATTCGATTTTAAAATCAACACCAGAGTCCCGAGTACAATTACTACCACAATTGTGATAAAATTTACCGTAGCCTATTCGTTTTCATTTGATATGGATTTTTTGGGTAAATGTGTCCTGCTAACTAACATTGACTGAAACTGCTTCCAGTCAACATTTAACTGTTGTTTCTAGCCTCGGGCATTTGCTTTGGATAGAGTTTTCATACCTTCTGGCAAAGTAGCTATAACCTTGCCTTGTACAAATACTTAAGTGAATAGCATATTTTTTACAGTTATTACTGCAAATACAATATACCAGCACCTACCTTCTCGTCTCGCTTTAGAAATTGCATCTGCAGATGGAATAGTCATGCAATGTACAATATAAACTGGGCAATTCACCTGGAAAATTTTTTTGTGAATGAATTATTTGAATGTTTGAAAGTTATAGCAAAAAAACTTCAAATCATACTGTACAATATTTGCAATCATTATACATCTTGTCACTGCCTCTGATTCAACATCTGGCCCTCGACATAATTCATGCCCCTCTGGTCCCAAGATTCCTAGATCGTGCATCCTTTTTTGCTCCTGTAATGAACAATTTATTAAAGTTTCAAACAAGTTATTCACAAATCTTTATCCCCATTTTCCTAGTGTGCTCACTGGTGTTTCGTCGCCATGTTCCAGTAAAGTAGGCTATTAATTAACTGCAATAGAGTAGGGACCAAGTTGCACATGTGTGAATGTAACAGTTTTATGAGTGCATGGGCATAAATCTTTTTTACGATGAAAAACTGGTTTAAATGGAATTGCAAATGAAAATTTGATAATTTGATTTTCATTTAAAATCAACTTTTGATTGGCAGTGAATAAAGTTTCAAAACAACTTGGCAACAACCATTGGTTCCAGATAGTATAATAAATCTTTTTTGTTATTTCGAGCATTTTTTTCGTGTTGATCGTGTTGACTGAGTGTAATTCGAATATTCCACAAGAAATTGACTTTTTCTTTCAGAACAATTTTATTCAACATCCTTAAATACGCTACAAAACAGCAGTTATTTATGATAGCATGAGTGGAAATTTCAAAAAGATACCAACATAATATATCACAGCTCCATTCTCAGCATGCATCTGTGCAAGTGCTCCAGTCTTTCTAATATGAACATATGCTTGATACAATTCATCATCTTCTAACATAAGTCGATCTTTATATGCCATGAACATTTTGAATGAATTTACACCGTGATCAGCAACCAGAGATGACATTTCTTCTTTCACCTTGAAAAATGAAACAGCAATAGGTGAGCAATAGGTCAATATAATAAAAACTACCTGAATAATTTAGAACCCCTTGTGTGGGCCCAGATATTAATCTTTTTGGACACACAGTTTATAAAGGTTCAGATTTGAGTATTTTGTAATTGGTGTAAATCGTACATTTTATTCTTATCAGGGCATTCTTGTCTTATTAGATTTTTATAATGAGTTTCCTTATCCCATGAAAGTTTTATAGCAAACAAAATTCCATAACATACATACACAAGAGTCGCAACTTATTTCAAAAGAGTTATTTTTAAAAATGATCCGAATTGTTGTTATGATCAATGTCTTACCTGGTCACTCCACCATGTGATGACGACATGTAAGGAATAATCACAACAAACTTGGGGATCAGCCCAACTTCTCCATTTATGATATGCTTCAAGCAGTGAAACTCCTTTTTTGTCTAAGACAAAATCTATAATCATTGTTGTGCCACCAGCCAGTGCAGCTCTTGTACCAGTATAAAAGTCATCCACTGCCTTAAAAATGAATACAGTTTGTTAAATATGACAGATGACTATAGAATTTACAAGGTATCATTTTGGATCAAAACCAAACTGAAATCAAATTGCGCTAAATTCTGAAAAGGTTAGACAATTCCTGTCAGATGCAATAAAGCTTTGTATGAGATTAAAATCAAAAACATTAATTCAAAACATACTATTGTCCCCATACAAGGATATTGCATGTGTGTGTGAGTATCAATTCCTCCTGGCATAACAAGTTTTCCAGTTGCGTCAATGATATGAACATCATTTGGTACAGTCAAATTGTTGCCAACCTATAATAATACTAATCATATTATTCTCATAATCTCGCTGTAAAATACTACAATTCAAATGAAAGCTCAAAAATTGAATTTATAGTATCTACCTTTGAGATTATAGTATACTTGCTGAACAAACATTATTTTTTGCAAACATAACTTTTCTGATTTCATATTTTAATATCCAATTACCAAACCAACAATCGAAAATTTCAGTATCTAAAAATTTATCTTTTTTTAAGTATACTCCTCTCAAACCAAGCAAACATGTTATTTCAATAAAAATTATTGATTTCCTCTCTTTTCAAAATGAGTAAACCCTATTGTAGAAATCATGTGGAGAGAAATCGAGAATTTGTAGCGAAATAAAAATCTATTTAGTTCGCATATCAGCTCTAGTAAAGCTACCTGTTTAATAATTCCATCTTCAACATAAACATCAGCATAAAATGATTGATCATCATTGACAACTTTCCCTTCTTTGATCAATAGTTTGGTATTGTGGGATATAGACATGATTGTGTTAATAATATATTAGTCTAACAAATATAGGAAATGAGAGAGATGATGCAAGACTACAAATTGAAGCACTATCATACAATTTACAGAAATCTCCTGTATCATCAGTTTGTTCAATATATAGGTAGGATATATTTCTGAAAAATGCCTGTTTTTGCATGGTTAGAATCAAGCTCCTTCATATACATACATGATGCTGGCTGTCTCGTTTACATAAGTTATTAATGAGGATGTCTTGGGACTCTGACATCAGACAGAGTATCAAAGTATTGATTGAAAACAAAAACGTTTACATTGCCTTGGGTCTAAATATGATAGCAGTTTTACTTATTTACTAAGTTAGTAATTGAAGTTTTTGTATTCTCGTTTGAAACAAAACTGCTGATACCTTATCATATTTCTAGCTATCTGCACACTAAACCCACGTGCTATATCATATTAGTATGATATCAAGACTTCACAATAATGTCAGCTCATGCTAAAAACCTGTGAGAAATTGCCAGCTAGTCCAACAGCTAATCTTAAAACCCCAAAACAAACAATACTCAACATTATATGTCTACTTTAATTTATTTCAAGCAAATTTCATTGTTGATGTGAGCATAATAAACCAGAGAAAATGAGACAATTCAATGAGTTACTAAAACTATATATTAAGTCAAAAAGTTCACTTTATAATGTTTGGCATTATTGTACCAGTGTGAAATGACCAAACTTGACAAATTTGAACAAAAGTTTAATTGCATGTACTGTAAACAAATGGAACATAATATTTTAATTTGAAACAGAAAGCAATTCTTGAAACATGATCACAGAAAAACAAAGCGGCAATAATTATTTTTTAATTACAATATTTAATTAATGGCCATAATTGATATTGCACAAAAACTAAATAATTTCATAGTTCAAAAAACAACAGTATTATTTTTATTAGGTGATGCACTGGTTAAAATTTAAAAAAATTTGAAATCAAATTTGCGTTTTTGTGTCAAAAACAAGTTATATATGCAACATTATATAATATAAATTCAGTATTACAATGAACATCCCTACTACGCAATTTATATATTCATCTGATTGGTTTAATGTAACTGTCAAATAAAGTCAAATTTTTTTTTCTGGATAAATAAAAATTGATTAGAAAACTGTATAAACAAATTTTTGTAACATACAGAACTAGCACAAGCATAATTATCGATAATTCGCTTGTCCAACTCTATTTTTATTTTCATGCAATAGATTGTTCCAGAACCCAAGATCTGTGTATTTAATCTTACATACCCAAAATTCATTTCAATCATTATTAATTTAGAAGAAAAAATGTGATTTCGGAATGACAGAAATACTTAATTAAACACAACAGTGAAGAATTTATGTGAACGTTGATTTATATTTTTACAGTAAATCTAACCAAATCAAACTGTTTGAAATAAACTACAAATGAAAACATGATTCAACATTTTATCTAACAAAAACAATGCAGCATTGAACAATATAATTTGATTAGTCTATCTAACATAAGTTGAGTTAAAAGATTGTTTATTCTAGAGTCCTAACTGTGTATAATGGATCAATTACCACAAAATTTAAGTGAACTTTACTCCAAAAGTAGACATTTTTTATAAACGAAAAATAGTTATGAAGCAGATGCTATTTTGCAAGCACGGAATGAAAAAAAGGATGAAGGCATTATGGTTTTTGTGAAATGAAGTGGGCATTTTCATAGCAAATTGTGTCGAAAAATCAAAAGTAAAATGGCTAAAGTGTATGACATTGAACTGAATTTTCAACCTTGAGAAGATGACTATGGGTACAGATTAAATTTTTAATGTTGTTCAATGGGGAACATGAAAAATCAAAAAAGCATATTGTCTTATGACCTAAAAACACATTATCTGATTCTGAATTTACTACAATTTTGGTAAAGTGTTACAATGGACAGCAAAAATACAATGCAATGCGTAAATGACATTTTCAATAAATTCATGTTGTCTATAGTTAACTACAAGATGCTAGCCTAGATATACAATGTGATATTAGCCTTATCAAAATCATTTGTGTACAAAAAACTTGTTCAAAATATATAGGATTTAAAAGTCAGACACCAAGCAAGCAAAATCCTCAACAAAAAGTAAATAATTGCACACCAAACTACATCTATTATAATGAACACACAGATGAATAGCACACCTATTTTTGGTTGTTTTGCAATAGATTATGAATTGTATATAATTAAGGTAACAGTAGCGTTTTATAGAGGTACAACATATTCAAGGCAGTATTTTTTTGTTTTTTTTGAGCTATGTGCATCAAGCATTTACATTACGACAAATAAATGGCAAAAATACAGATAGTGCAGATGAAGGTAAATATATTCTGACAAATCTCAAGTAATTCAAAAATTTATTTTAGGCTACTCCTTACAATTGGTCAACTTGAACTAACCTGAAAATATATTTTCATGGCATTTCCTGTCATGTAAAACCAGGTTCAGGCATTTTAGAATTGTGCAAACAATATTACAATATTACTGGTAGTACAGCGATATGCAAATATTTGTCAAAAGGACAAATGAAGCAAAACTGCTTGCAATAAATCCAATGAAATTATTGAGCAAATCTAAATTTTATACCATTCTCATTATTCCATAACTAATTCATGACTAGATGTGTTAGGTATACAAAAAATCTCTACATAACAATGGCAACTGATTTATATTTAGTTTTCATCGCTGAGACAACCTATCTAAGGCCCTTTTTATACATAAAGCACTACTTACTACATAACATTTTTACATTATTTCAGCATTTCAAAATTATAGCTTTGGACGGTACATGAAATTTACATTTGATTTGATAAAAACACAATTCAAACACACAACTTAAGTCCGGCGATGGCATAATTGAAAAGGCAAAGTTATATTGGAATTTGGAATATCTGGTCTAATGCTGAACTACCAAAATATACAGCGCTTGATTAAAACAAACTGAAGGTAGATCTGCCACCTGGTGGGGCCATAACTCTTGTAGAAGGATGTGTTGAATCATTGGCCAGATTGACATGTTGCCCTGAAAGAAAGCCAAACGAAATAATAATTTAAAATTCATGAAGATTGCCGAAATGCATGCTAGTTTGGGGTTAGACAGGATTACCCCTATTCAGAGAAGAAATTCAACGTCTTTGATTACTATATTCAGCATACATATCGATAAAATCATGCTTTCGCCTCTATCAAGTTGCAGTAGAATATAGAATTCTCAAACTCCTACAGCAGGTTTCTATAAAACTGTTATTCCTATCAGTTGCATAAACGTAATGGGTAGATGAAACTTTAAGATGAGAGTCCTCTAACAAAACTAGTCTAATACAGGACCTGCAACTGCAGATCCCTGCAAGGTAATCAGAGCTTCGAAGTCAAATGTGTTTGAAATGCTTAAAAGCATGTTTGTCCAATAGTAAAAAAAACACATGCTGTAATTCGGTCATCACTCCAGGTTGGATATGGCATGTTCACGTGTATGGGCGTTGGGTAAGCTACTTTGCGATAGCAAGGATTCTAGCAATCCTCTCACCCAATGCGATTTATACACAAGCAAGATAAAATGTTCCTACCTCCTGCACCAATAGAGGTGGCGTGGTGCAAATTACGAGATCTTGGAGTATCGGGAGTTTTAGGTACCCCATTCTCATCAGGTAGTGTCGCTACTGGTCCTATAATAATGTATAATTTATTTAATAGTTATTACTCAATTCAGTATGGTACTGAACCAAGTATGGTACTTGGCTGTGTAATAAAAACCTTGATTTTCTTTGCTTAAAATTAGAAGCACGACTTCATGATTTCATATTTAAATGATGTTCGATTAAAATTTGTCTTAGTACTTTTAATTTGAATCTTTTTATTTTAAAGTAATTCATAAACTACTTCTGCAAAACCCAAAATTTCACATTTGAGGTTAGCAGTCAACGTAGGACTAAATGTCATGGCTCACAAGTCATGTTTGAAAGTCTTTGCCAAGTGAAAATCATCCTGGCTGGCTCAGACTTCAACAGCTAAGTCATTGTTGACTTGCAAGAAAGTCGATGGTGAGACAAACATGCATAAAGAACTGAAGTCTGACTAATATATAACTGGTTTTGTTTGAAGTTTGTTTGAAGACACTTAATCCATTGTTTTCATTATTGACCTGTGTATGGCTCTCTTTCCACCTTTACTGGATCATGAGATTTCTGTCTACAATCGATTTTCTTGTACACATATGGAGCATAAGGTTTTCTGAAAAGAAACGATTATTTAACAGTGACAGAAGTAGAAACAAATCCAAAAGTTAAGAATCAAATTGATTTTACAAACTGCCATTCACTAAATTAGCTGACTGGCACCGTGGTTCGTGGATCCAATTACGCTGTCATCACAGGATAGAGATCACCAAGTTTAAGACTGATGTCCTTCAACTTACCCAGAGTGTGATAAATTGGGTTCGCAATATTCACGTCTTTCCAGATAAATTAAACCCCTAACATATCATTGAAATATTTTCATTTTCATTTTGAGATGAGAGAGTGAAAAATATTGCGTAAAAATTGTAATAAATTGTCGTCGCCAAAAAAACCATTAGCATCGTTTTATTCTTCAATGCATTATCATTAAGTTTCAAGAGACTAATTAATCATCATACAAACTTCTGTAACCGAGCGCAAATTAACTTTGCCACACATTATCATAAACTTTAGAAAAGAAATTTGAATACAACGCACCAGCACATGTTCAAAATAAACGTATGGAAATCTTCAGTATCAACGGCACAAAGCATGTTACTAACTCGAGAAACATTACTAAAAGTATTATCCAGGCTCTGAGGTTGGCGCATATTGCTAAGTGTTAAGAAGACACTTGCTATCCCTTTCTGTTTCCCCTGAGTTGGTTCGCAAGTCCCCTGGGAAATAATTATGTGCGAGAGGATTGCTGTACTTTTTGTCGCGATAGTTGGTTTACAAAGCTGGTCAATTGCGGCATCCTCCACCATCAAGTCCGTGCATCAGAATCAAGTAACTGCTTAATTATTCACATAACCTACATAGACCTGTCATTAGAGGAGAGTTTGTGGTTTGCTATACGATTATCAAATTTTCTCTCCGCTGGGATAATTTACCTGGGAATAAATTTTCCATCTCCAGCAGCAACATTGAATTTGCCATCTTGATAAACAATTTTTCCTCGACTTATTGTACAGAGAGTAACTCCATGACAAACCATTCCTTCAAAAATGTTAAAATCAACAGCTTGGTGATGAGTCTTTGCAGAAATAGTTCTAAATAAAAAAAATGGAAACATTGAAATAAAGGAATTAGTTGTGAACTTGTGATGTTACATTACAAGACTTTGATATTTACGTTGGGGTATAAGAAGGAAGTATAAAGGTTGAAAAACGACCAGTATCTTTCCATCATAAGTGTGTTGGCATGTTTATACTATAGTCAAAAACGATGACAGAGTCGAATTTTCAAACTGACCTGTGTCTGAGTAAATTTTGGTTTTCTCTGAATCGAGGTCGGAGTCGAAATTTCAGACTTTCAATAATGATAATGGAAATATTTTTACAAAACTCAAAAATCATCAGGTTTACTAAGCGTTTTTAACATTCTGATAAACGAACCCACATTTTCGCTATCAAAATTTGATTCTTTCATAGTTTGAAGCTGGAAACAGGGACAAGGTTTTTAAAACTAAGAGTTAGGAGTCTAAATTAAAATTTTCGTCAACCCACAGTCTATTTTTCTGTTTCAAATTTGACACTAGTCAAATGATTTCAGTATGTATTAGCGAACAATAAAGTAAATATTGCATTTTTAAATTCTCTCAAAATGTAACTTATCAAAATATAAATACATATGTTACTTTTCCATATAAAATAAGAAATCTTGATATCCCAAGGCGACAAAACTTCTGACTGAAGTTGAGTGGAAACATCACAAAAATTTAATCCTCAGAAAATTTCAATAGGTCAAATTCAAAATAGTTGTACTATATTATTTGAAATCATAAAAAAGTTTGAGAAAATGTAAAAATCAAATAAACTTGTGATAAACCTTGTAGCTTCTGGATCCCAGACCACAATATCAGCATCCGAACCAACAGCTATTACTCCTTTACGTGGATATAAGTTGAATATCTTTGCAGCATTTGTACTTGTAACTGCTACAAAACGATTTTCATCCATTTTTCCAGAAGCAACACCTTTCTGTAATTCAATATTTAAGATATTATTATGGGAACAAAATTTTGAGCAATATACAACAAATTGAAATAGTTTAAAATACCAAATGCAATATTTAGGTTCCATAAATTTATTTAGCTATGTGCAAATTATATAGAAATAAATTAATTTGAAAATAAAAACACACCGTATGTAATTCCTATACAATGAACATGAGAGCTCAAATATATGAACAAGAAGGCCAAAACAAAGTAGTACAGCATACAGGTATGTAATCATTTACAGAAGACTGCTGGTACGGCAGTCTCCTCGTTTAGCTTGACCACCAGATAGCAACGATCGTGAACGCGGAACCGCCACAAGGTGCGAAGTTTTACGTTTGATGACTTCAGCGCACATGAAAAAAAAAGTAATAGCCTCCAGGCGACAACAACAATCTTTAACCACTGGACGGAATGTGTAATTTGACAATTTTAAGGGGAAATTCAGACGTTCACTGACTTCTTTTGTTCTCCCTGTTGCATCTTTTTTGAAGTCCATCCACCTTGAAGTTGGATTAGGCGGTGGAATAGAGGATAGTATTATTGTTGAAAATCAAGCTTTTGACTCTCATGAATACAATATTTTATTGTGTCATCATAATGATTCCAATTAGAAAATTTTGGGGTTGGTCTTAATATTTAATGTGACAAATTGCGCTATGTCAGTTTTATTTTTCGAAATAGGAAATTTATCTTTTAAGAATTTGATTTAAGGGTAACAATAGTAAAAAGTTCGGAAACCACCAATCTATAGGTTCAATTTGTGTGAAACACAATCAAATGTTAACTATCTACAAAAACAGCTCATAGCGACTGCACTGCATAAAATCTATTTAAAGTCCAAGATATATGTGTGTAAAAAAAGAATATTGATTCTAATATTTTTCCTCTCGTGATATTTACAGAAAATATGGCCGTTTCAAATCAATGTAATGTTAAGATACAGTGAAGGTATACAAATATACACAAGAACACAAAATGTGAGACAATTACGTCATCTTCCGCAAAAGACATTAAATAAATTGGATTTGTGGCTGAACCTGGAGAACAGACGTTCTACCCTGGTATATATATTTATTGTATCTCATATGAATTATTTATCAACTCTTTGCATCAGGAATTCGTAAAAGAAAATAAATAATTGAATGATGTAATGGAAACACTTTTTAGCATCGCATAAATGGCCAAATAAAGACAATGTTAAATTCTTGCAAATAGATTACTTAAAGATTAAAGTCAGGCCAAATTTGAGGACTTCAAATGAATTTCATATATAAGCCAAAGATAGTGTGCACATAAACTAAATTAGTGTTAAGCAAGCTGTACGTTTAAGGTAGTCTAGATCCTCATGCACAATGTAACAAAATTCCATGATTTGATTTAGGTCAGCGACCAACACAGGTATTATTTACCTCCCAGATAACTGACATTCGATCCTCGACACCATTCACTCCATTGGGAATTTTAGTGAAATCATCCTTGCCGAGAGCTTTTTGATTTCCACTGAAAGTGCAATTATCAGTGCCAGTGCATTCCAAATCTCCACTGTGAAAAGAAAAAGACTTTGAGAAACTGTATAAAGTAGGATTATCTAATTTCAAAGGGGAAATCCTAGAATATTCTCATATAGTTACAGATACCGGTAGATATGATAGACTACTGGACTATCTGTCAACGCATAGGAGTAAAATGAAACAAAAGTAATAGCAAGCTATTAAGTTGATAAATGATATATAACAGAATTCCAATCAATAGGTTAAAAGTCCTAAACTTTTCATGAATAAAATATTCGAAATTTAGTTAACTAATGAATAGTGCATCTTACTAAGCAAATAAAATCAATCACAATTACATAGGAATTGATAGAAAATCAAATCAAAAAGTAGGTACAGAAAACTGTCGAAATTCTATTATTGACAGCTAATTATTCAAGGTAATCTACGTTCACATATAGATACAAAATTTCTGCATAGTAAAAGGCAAACTAAATACAAAACAACTGGCTGTTTCAATATATCTCTTGAACATATTGCGCATGCATATTGAATATGCATTTATGCAACTCCCTATAATATTACATAGGCTATATAAAGGATATTTTCATCCTCGAGATCAATGCCTCTGTCAATGTCAGTTGATTTCTAAAGTTATGACATATTATTTTCAGCATTAGGTTTATATTATTTAAAAATGAGTAACTACCTATTAAAAATATATAAGTAATTGACTGAAGTAGCTAAACAAGAAAACAATGTCGAATTGTCTATATTACGATTCTTCTTTTCACTGAACCAATAAAATAGTCAAAAAGTAGTCTAATAAAAAAAACATAAAAATTAATCCAAGATTAACAAATGCATAGAGGAATGAACGTTGTGTTTTTGAGATGTAAAAAAACTCACTTAGCTAGTAAATCCATAAGATATCCAGGTGTTGTTGTATCAGGTCTCAGTGGTGGACCCATTACATGTCCTGCTGCATGTCGCCAGCATTTATGCCAATAGTGAGTACCATCTGTGCCTAGGCAAGCAGCAATCGGTTCACCGAAGACAACTTTCCCTGCGCAAAGATATCAAAATGATCATCAGTTTGACATACATATTGCACTTCAAAAATTGTTACTTTTGCTTTCAATATAAGCAAAATGTATGAATTTTATGTCATATTATTCTTGATTGTTTAAACTAGGGCTTTCCCAACTAGGTGTCTCGACCCCCATGGTGGTTCGCAAAAGAGCTCAATGCTGTAATATTTATTTGACAATAACTCATGTTAGAGAACCTAATTTCAATCACAAATTTGGAACCAGAACTGAGACCCACCATCGCCAAAATAGAGCTGAAAATTCGGTCTTTTGTGTGAGAATACGCAAGAATATCAGTTTTATTAAAGGTATTTTAGGATTATTTTTTTTAATTTTTGCCATAATATTGAATTTTAAGTAATTTTAGTTCCTGATGTCGCAAAAAAAAATTTGGACGTGCTAAGTGGCTCGTGATGAAAAAAGTTTGAAGAACACTGGTCCAAACAATATAGTCTTGTACTTATGATAGAAGCACAGTATTAAACACGAACATATTTCCCAGTAAACACGACCATAATCCCCAGAAATTGTACAAAACAATAAATTTTTAAACTGAACTCTGCGTAAATCTTTTAGACGAATAATCAGAGAAATTGGATGCCGTGGAATCGCCGTGAAAGAATCCGTCGCACACCGGATTATATTGCAAACAAATTGTGTGACTTTATATCCCCTGAGAAGCAAGCATCGCTACCTGTGTACAAATAAACATTGCAAACTTTATACAAACAATTTTAGCCTCATTTACCTTCTCTTCGTGCCCTTGCTATGACCTTTGCCGATGATTTACTCATCACATGTACTATATACATTGGACAATTGACCTGCAAGTAAAAAAAATATTTATGATTTTATTACCTGTATTAGCTAATTATAGATGTCATATGCCATTAATAATAATCTATTAATAATATTTTGATAATTCGAGTATCGAGTTTCTGCCGATTCTGAGTATCAACCACCAAAGCGAATTGATATTCAGAATTTTTAAGTGATTCAAAAACAAATCTTTAATTTACATTTTAAAAATATTATATTTTGATATGAGTTTGTTGCGTTTTCTGTGCCAAGCAATAACACGTGCAAGTCTTAGGAACATGATAATTTAAATTCACTAAATTCAAACAAGTCAGTATATAATATTAATATAATTAGCAAAGCTTGATGTCGGACTCTTGACAAAAAGTGGTAAGAAAAGTGAGAGTGGAGTTGCCAATTTCATCAATGAAAAGGAGTTACCCGATTTGAAATCATGATTGCCCTCAAAACAGCTTCTGCTTCTACATCTTCAGGTCTACATAATTCATGTCCTTCTGGTCCTGTGATACCAAGTTCAAGCATTCTCTTTTGCTCCTAAAAGTATTAGTAATTTGAGACGAATAAAAATTAGCATATCATCACAGAAAGATAATAAATCCACTGGATAGCCACAGTAACAATCGTTGCTGATGACTATTTTTATATTTTTAAAGGAATATTGATTTTATGAACAAAAAGTTCGAGTTCAGAGTGCGACATAAAAAAAGATATAGTAATACATCGTGTTTCATTATTCCTACTGACATGAACTATGTAAATTTGTCTCTTGAATGAAATTTAACTATTGTGCAATATTGTGTGATATATTGCACGATAGCTCAGTTTTATGAGAAACATGCCAAACAATATACTAAATTGCAAGTACTAACTTACTAAAAGTCACAGGAGGGAAATTGAAAATATAACAATAATAATCTTACATGAGCAATTACGTCTCCATTTTCTGCATGCATTTGGGCAATCGCACCAATATTTCTACATTGCTTATATACTTCATACAAATCATGATCAGGTAACATGAAGACATCTTTATATGCCATGAACATTTTGAATGAATTCACACCATGTTCTTTCACTAAAGTTGCCATTTCCTCTTTCACCTGTGTATTGAATGGAAATAATAAAAATAGAAAACAAAAGAAACATTTCCTTTTTACTAAAGTACCTAGATGCCGAGTGTGAATGAGGAGTTCAGGGTATTTATAGGCTACATCACAAATAATTTAATAAAAATGTATAGCTTTAGCATTAACAGCAGGTTAATAATGAGTCTTTAGCTTTTATTATATAGGTTTATAAAAATTCCAAATGTTTGTTAACACAATGTCAGAGACAGAGATTTACAGACAACTGTAAATGAGGAAATCCGCATGGGGATCAATTTGCAAAAATAAAGAAGCCAATCAAGATTACTGAATTCTTCTGCAGAGTGGAATGAGAGTCTCCAAAGTTAACTGACAAATTCTTGGGGATGATTGCATGCGAGGCAACAATGACTAATTCGAAGTTTTTATAAACAAAGGTGTGGCCCAGAATACGAAAAAAAATACATTGCAAAAATACAAATCGAATAATTAAGATATAGCTGCCAGAGCATGAGTAAACATAATATATTGTTTTTTAAATCAATAAAAATATGAATTTCTTTCTCACTTGCTCACTCCACCAAGTTACTCCAACATGAAAAGAATAATCACAGCAAACTTTTGGATCAGCCCAACCTCTCCATTTGTTGTACGCTTCTATCAATGAAACATTTTTCTGGTCCAAAACAAAATCTAATATCATTGTCGTACCTCCAGCAATTGCCGCTTTTGTTCCAGTGTAAAAATCATCAACGGCCTGGAAATATAGTACCAAAATGTTTTTTTTAAAAGGTTTTTCAATTTTAACACTTTAGGTATGTACCATAGCTCGGAATCTCAATCAGAAGGTCATTATATACACATCTATATATACATAGTAAACAACTCGATATCCAAGATGCAATGTCCCCAAAATAGGATATAGGAATTGCAGCATCGAAGCGAAAAGTTAGCTTTTTTATACACCTAAAGGCATTGCACCGAAAATCAAAACCAATTGAATAGACTGAGAGGTTCATCTTTTGCATGAACTAATACATTTACTCAATAGTGGATGAATTTATCAAGCAAATATTTTACAAGTAAAAATAACATGATCTCTTTCAACGAAATAGTAGGTATATTTGATCATGATCTAACGAAAGCTCACAAATATACCTACTATTTGGTTGAAAGAGATCATGTTATTTTTACTTTTCACTTTAATACTATCTCGTTCAAGCATCCTTGTGGTGAGTGCCACATACGGATCCGAAGTAGAAATAATCAAGGAGAAAGGACCTGCAGTTCAATACACAATATCCAAGTTCCCCAAATATTTTACAGTTCAAAAAAGATAATGCATATTAAGAAATATCACTCAGAAATAAAATATAACAAACCAAACAAAATACAATCTACAACACACTCACACGATGCCCCATGAAAGGGAGTTGCATATGTGTATGTGTATCTATTCCTCCCGGCATGACCAATTTTCCAGTGGCATCATATTCTTGTGCACCTCCAGGAATCATCAGTCCTTTTCCAATCTTGGAAGTTATAAAATAATTTTGAAATGATAAGGACCATACAAATAATTTTTTACAAATGCAGACTTATTTACTAAATTGGCTTTGAAAATAAAAAAAAAAATACTAAAACTGCTTTAATAAAGGGTCATTGGAAACATCTCATATCATGCAATACTTAAAGTACTTATTATTTAGTATGAAATGTAGTCATACTTGTTGAATGATTCCATTTTCAATATAGATATCCGCTTCAAATGTTCGATCTGCATTGACAATCTTTCCTCCTTTGATCAATAGTCTCGAGTGTGAAGCTCCAGCAGACATTTTTAATTCCACTTTATACTACCTATGTACCAAACTTGAATAGCTTAAGTCAGAAAGTGTAAACACAATGAAGTATTATTTGTCTATTAACCCTAAATTTGCTTCAAACAATAGATCTATCAAATATGAACTGATATGAGTATTCAGTATTCCTGCTATATTGACCTTTTGATATGGCAGTAATATGTCTACCATAGTATTACATATAACGAGAACACAATTTTTGTTCTCTTATTTTTATTTCAACTTATTACTTTACACCAGTATTAGCTATGTCTGTATGTTATTATAAAGTCAGAAAGTCCGGAAGTACAGTATTACAGCAGAAAAAAATCACCCCAAAATTCATATATTTCACCACACAAATGCATAATAGAATATATTGATAACTGCTTTAAGTTGTTTTCATGCATTGGGCCTATTCTCTCATGATATGCTTTATTGCTATATTTAGTAGTTGTGACCTAATTTCTCCAGTAAACTTTTTTTCCCTATAGGATAGGATTTACATATTTATCTCGGGGGAGAGGAAAGCCGATAAGACGGCTTATCCATATGGCGAACCACGGACTCTCGTCCGGTTACCATTCCAAGTCGGGTATGGGTTTAGTTTTACTGTATTGTTTGTTTTCGGAAGCATGGACTTGGTGGTGGAGGAAGCCGTAACCGACCAGCGGTTACGTGAACCACCCAACGACGGCGAGGAGTCCAGCAATCCTCTCGCACATAACCATCCCTGCATGGGATTCGAACCTGCGAACCCACGCAGAGTAGTTAGAGGTGCGGTGGCGAGCGTATGCCTAACGCTTAGCCCGTTACTGGTATAAAGTTATTTCTGTAATTAGATAATTGAGTGGTGTGACATGAAAGCATCAGTGCACTCAAATCTGCAAATGTCATAATACTGTAATATGCCAGACAATATAACACAAAATTAATCAATACTGCAACACTGCAATTTCGCGGGTCTCATGTAGTTTCGTACCTAACGTACTTCTAGTAGGCGTAGCATAACAATTTCTTCACATGTCAATCCTAACCCCCACCTGACCCCACCATCCAAAAATTACGTCACTACGACGTCACGGTGACGTAATAGAGCCCTTCAAACTATGCAAACTGTCATCCAAGACGCGCAGACGAGAACCCGAAATCGAACAGCCATTTCTCTCGTTTTCTCGTCGCAACGATCCCGATAGGAGAGAGATCGCTGACGTTAGTCAGTTCTTTATCGTCGGCGCCGATGCTATTTCGGGCGATCGTACGAGTATTTGGCAAGCTCTATGACGTGATTGTGACGTCGTTGTGACGTCGTAGTGACGTAATTTTTGGATGGCGTAGTCAGGTGAGGGTTAGGATTGGCATGTCAAAAAATTTTTATGCTACACCTACTAGAAGTACGTTAGGTACGAAACTACACGAGACCCAATTTCGCTTCAGTACCTAATACATAAAATCATACAATTATAAATGCTACTTTCTAATAAACCTGCTGCAGATGACTAATTATGGAGACTAATTATCTCTGTACTACTGTACTAATAGACACGATGAGCGATGATATATCGGCAATGTTCAGATGCATTGAATCTGTGCTTTCAGGTTTTGTGTGGCCTGGTAGTAATGGCAACTAGTTGTGTTGCAGTGCCAACCAAAATCTTATACCAGTATACTGTACTAGCAATACCAGTGACAGCTTCAAGAGTTATAGCACCCCGCTAAAAATATTATAAACTCTAATATTTGCACCGCGAATAACCAAATTCCCCTCCGACTGCGCTCTGGCCAATTTATTCTTGGGAATCCCTTGCTTTTAACTGCCGCTCAGAATTTTTCAATCGCGACAGACGGAGGGCAGGTGGCAAGACAAGGCGAGTAGTTGTGGCAAAATCATAAAAGAAACATCTTCCGCTAACGTTTCAAAAAAGGTTTCTAAGGTACAAAATAAGGATTCTATGAATGTCTACTTGGGAATCCTAATTTTTCCTACGTAAATAAAGAAAATCATCTTACGTGTCCAGTAGGCGCATATTTGTAAGCAGCGGAAACATGCTTGGCATTACACTTTTGCAATGGGCTGGTGGAGAACATCGATCATCTTTTCTTGAAATGGAACATTAACATTCATAGAAAAATTGAAGGATCTTTTGTACAAAGCCCCCCGCCACTAATGCAAAAATGTGGGATTTAAGAAAAACATCCCCGCCACAAAATTTAAAAAATCAGTAATTGTGCAGTTACGGCTGGTACTTCAGTACTATGTGTACCAGGTTAAGGTTAGGCCGTAAATATATAATTCTTTTAGTATTTATTTACGGTTAGGGTTAGGAAAGATTTGAATTTCCTGGGCAATCTTCATTTCTAACCCTACCTAGAAATGTTCTTATTTTGAACGTTGGAGGGGGTGTTTTTTAGCGGAGGCCCTGTACGTAAGATCCAAATTGAACAAGTGGAAGTTTGCAAAAAGTGGTATTGATTTCGCCTTCCACAAGAGTGTTTTTAGGATATTCTTGCCATTTATTTTGTCAGATGTGTATAATCGGGTCTAGTTCGCTTTGGTCGATTTTAATTATACAAATGTAAAATAGGTGAATAAAAGCTAGTGTTTGATCACTCAAAAATAAGAAAACTGGAAATCTGTCTGGGTGAGAAAAGTGTCTGAGCGGATGCGAAAAGGGAACATTGTTACGTCACTTTTTGCATCTTGATGATTGGCCAATGTCACGAAGTAAACAAGGAAGTCGATGCTCGGGGAAAAAGTCCATAGCGTCACCGCGTGTCCCATTACGAATTCAATTCGTTTATTACTCCAGACCGCCGTGGTCCATATAAAAACAACACAACAAATAAACATAAGCAAAACAAAAATAACGCAATAAATACATAAAATACCTGATATGACAATCAGATTCACAGTAAGTCTCAAAAAAGAGTTATAATATAACAATTTAAATTTTAAGAGACCAAAAGTGAAGTATAGAATCTAAGATAACCCGTAACAAACAGTATCTGGGAATCAAATAATGATTGTAAAAGAATGTTATTGGAGTTCCTGCATCTCGTCATGAACAACCACAGATTTTTTCTATGGAGTGCTTCGAAAGAGGGAATGTTCCCAGATACCATTTTGTGACAGACTCGCAGATCTAGAGACACAATGAATTACGCGATAAGCATTATTATATGAAATTTTAACTTTTTTATAATTATAATTATTGAAAAACAACCAGAGCTGGCAGTTATAAATGCTACAACAATACGTCCTAAATAAAAGATTTTTCACAGTAGTGGAACAATTGACAAATTTTTTCAAAATTGTATGGGCTATAAAATAAATTGATTTATACTGAAGTTTCAAGTCAAGGTCATCTCTAAGATCACTGGATAGGAAAACACCAAGATATTTAGTGGACGAAACATAAGTCAATACAGAATTACAAAGTTTGATATCAGGCAAAATATTCAGCCTAAAATTTTTATTCTGGATACACATACAAACAGATTTTTTCGAGTTGTACAAGATGTCATGTTCAATAGAGTATTTATCGCATATGTTAAGTAAACGCTGAAGACCTTTGGCTGAAGGTGAAATGCAACACATGTCATCAGCATAAAAAATATGATTGATAATATTGTTATTTGCTACACATCCAATGGTCTCTTGATTCAACTTAACAGAAAGGTCATCCATGAAAACAGCATATAAATATGGACTTAATATACTACCTTGCTTGGTACCATTATGGACCTAGAAAGGATCTGACACACTGCTACCCCATCTAACAAACATGGATTAATTACGATACATGTGTACAATCAGCGACAAAAATATTTTGGGGATTCTTCTGTTAATTAATTTACGAAATAGAGTCCAATGATTAACTTTATCAAAAGCTTTAGTGGCATCCAAAAAAGCTATGAAAACTGGTGAAGATTTTTTGAATAATAAGTAGCTAGCTGCTTTATTGTAAAAATGCACATGTCAGTCCCGTGACCAGGCTTGAAACCAAACTGGTTGTGAGATGTAGTGAAGTAAGACCCAATGCTATTTAAAATGTGTTTTTCAAAAATCTTAGATAAGACAGAGGCCACTGCAATAGGCCTGTAGTTACTTGCACTACAAATGTCACCATTTTTGTTCACCAATTATAGGCTGAATAGAACTTGAAAGGGAGGATGCTGGAATATAACTATGGTTCATACGTGTGTTAATATACAAACATAAAAGCACTGATAGAATTGGATGAGAATATGCCAAATGTTCCTGGTTATCCCATCAGGACCAGGTGAACAACCAGATTTAAGAGAAGAAACAATACTTGCAAGTGCACCAACAGTGAGCAAGTAATTACTGAAACAGTTATCAACATCAGAATTCAAAAATCCTAACACAAAATTTTTATCATTTTCATTGGGAACACTATTAAAAATTTCTTCAAAGTGATTTTTCCACATATTAGTAATTTCATTCTGCCCAGTGGCATCCCCAACACTAACTGGAAGTGGGCCGTTATTGTCCTCTGAAATGATCCGCTCAGCGCGAGACCAGAATTGTTTGGGATGGTTACACAATAATGATTTGGCAATTTCACATTGATTCCTTGTTCGCTCTCTTTTAAAAGCTCGAAACATTCGTTTGAAATGCAATTTGGTTCTAACATATGCATCAAAGATACAGCCATGGCGAGGATTGTTTTTATAAACCCACTCAAGATATGCTTGTCGAGCAGCAACATAAGAGTCTCGGACCTCACTGTTCCATCCAGGAATAGGCTTAATGTGCTCATGTAACGATCTAACATGCACCATGTGAGACTGTGAACTAATAAGGGCAGAACAAACAACTCGCTAATTATACGACATAATTCATCCAATCAACAGGCTTCTGATCCGAGATATGATGAATGAACATGGAGAATTTGAAGCAGATTCAACCTCGCTTTCGTGAGATATGGCGTAACATACGAAATTGTCTAACGGACAAATACCTATCAACATACTTACCGATCGAGATCGATAAGTAATAAATTAGCAACGAGGCCCGGAAGAAACGTCAGTGGGTTTATCCGGT